GTGAAGTAAAATAGATAATGCCATTGTTACTTAGAAGTGGCCCATTCGTTTAGCTTTTCATTGGTTTTTCTTCAGTGAGCACTTAAGAAGAAAAGAGATCAAATTACTATTTGAGAAGATAAAATATGAGAGGCACATTTCCCCCAAGAAGACAAAGTGTGTTAGCTGTTCCTTGTTCCTGTGTGTTCACACCTGGTCTAGGACGCATACAGTCAGTCATACAGTGTCTATTTTTAGGCTGTTGCCAGGCAGACTTCAAATTTCTCCTCTTATGGTTACCGACGTGGGCTTCCTGATTGGCCACGTGGCTCTGCTGCCAGCAGCCAACCACAGTGACTATGCAAATTGTATTTCAGTTTCTGTTTGTGTGAAAGAACTGATAAGATGGCTGCCAGGGCTCCCTTTGGGGTATGTGTATTATTTTAAAGATGGCTTTCTTCAGGGTGTGGTAATAAACCATTGTAGATAGCTTTTAAAGGGGGTGTTTTAAGTTTGAAATAGGAAGTCACACTAGGCAAGCTTTAGATGGCTGACAAACGTCTCTCAGTGTTAGAGTTCATTAGTTCGAATGGTGCTAGGCAGTGCTTCTGTTAGGCAAGGCCTGGCTGGGCATAGAATATTATACTACTAGGTTACGTTAATGACGTTATTTTTATATGAAAACATACCAGCACGTTAGCTTATATGTCTATTAAAATGTTCTAGATCACTGCCTTTGCTTTCTAAAAGAATAACTTTTGCACTTCAGGAGTTGTTTATACGTGCTTTGTACGTTCCTACTGGTTCCTTTTTAACTAGTATCTACTATATGCCGAGACTCTCTAGTACATGATGATAATGTCAGGATACTGCTGTTTTTGTCCTTTGTGACACCACCTCATTAGCTCATTAGAATGCCAGCATATTTAAGGTGCTTTCTGACATGAAATCATTGACTCATAAAATACATAAATCCTATACTGGATACATGAAAAGGTGGGTCCAAGTGTCTCATGAAATGATCTATCCCCCTGGGTATTAGAGTGCATTTATAGTTGTCACCTCTGACGGTGCTGTCCGATGCAGTGAACGGTGACTGGACGCTTAATGGATCAGGGAGTCATGGCTAAGGCGGGCCCGAGCTATATGCAACTCCAGAAAGTTCGAGAAACAGACCTCATGTAAAGACACACTTAGCAGCATCACTTACATGTAAGTATTCAGGCTCTTCCATTGCTAGTTCATCGGAGGACGTGTGTCTCGCGTAGGACTTCCTGCTTCTTTGGTAGAAGATGGCCGATTCACGGGTGTTTCCACGCGCTGAGGACGGCGTCGCTCTCATCTCCTCTGTGGCTCTGCTCTTTCGTGTCGGTGTTTCAGGCTTCTCTCTGTTTCCTAAGCTATAAGCACACTGGATTGCGTCCCACTTCGGAGGGGAGTGACGCGTGGCTGGTCTGTCTAGGTGAGTACGGCCCGGGCGCGTGCCGCCTCTCCCACGAGCACAGCCACCCGGGAGTCCCGAGCGACTGACCCGCGAGAAGAGGCTTGGGGAAGAGCAGGTGGGGAACATGCAGAGCAGCTGTGCTATTTTCTGAAATGCCACGCACGGATCATGGCACTTACCCCTTCAGTGTACAATCCCGTGGTTTCTGTTGCATCCACAGAGCTGTGTAGACATCGCCACGGTCCTTCTCCATTCCTGTGCCCTTTGGGAGCTGCTCCTGGCTCTTCCCCAATCTGCTTCTGGGTCGGTCTTCTCTGCCCGTCCCGGCCTGCTCTGTAGGTGGAATGGTTCAGGGTGAGCCGGGAGGGAGGGAGGGAAGGAAGGAAGGAAGGAGTCCTTCCGTCGTCTGTCTGATTGGAACAGGCAGCAGTACTTGGTTCCTTTTCATGGCTGAGTGATACTCCACTGCTTGGATATGCGATGTGGCAAGCATTGGACTTGTTTTCGGTTTGGGGCCATCGTGAGCGTTGATGGGCAGGTTTTAGCCTGACCCCACACACGACATGTTTTTGGTAATTTTGGGTACTGAATTTGGTAAGTTAAATGGAAACTGCACACTTCACAAACTGAGGATTCCCCCCCCCACACACACACACACAAACACTTTTTCCCTCTCCTCCATCCCCTCCTCCTTCTCCCCCCCTTCTCTTCCCTTCCAGTGTTAGGTTCTTGTTTTTCCTGAGCATATTATTACCTGCAGCTTCCTTGTGTTTCTCATGTCTGGTTGGCCCAGCGGCTTTTGTTGATCATATGGGCCTTTCTTTCCCTTGGCGCGGTCCGCTGACTTTCATCAATTGGCTGTACTCTGAAGGCTTGTTTCTCTTCCATTGACCTAAATACTGATCTTTGTGCTAGTATTGCCATATTGTTTGGATTATTATAGCTTTGTATAGACAGTTTTGAAAATAGGCAGTGTGAGTCCTCTATGCTTAGTTTTAGTTATTGTCAGTTTCTTCTGGTAGGACTTTTACAGTTAGCTTGTCAGTTTCTCCAAAGTAGACAGCTGGGATTTGGATTGCTTGGAATCTGTAGCTCAATTTGAAAAGAATTGACAGTGTTACATTGTTGTTTTTTTTTTTCCTTTTTTCTTTTTCCGGGGATTAAGTCCAGGCCTCATGTATACTCTTTAATGATCCACTCAAGAAAAATGTGACAAATATATTTAGTGAAGTAATTTCTTAATGCCTGAGGCAGTAAATGTGTGGCCTTGATAAAGGCATGCTAAGGGAGTAACTGCGCGGCAGCTCCAGGGCATGACTGGCTGTGGACTTTGGTAAGGGGGGCACACCTCGCTACCTCGTAAGGTGCTGTGGTTTGATGAGTATTTCCTTGCTCGGGCTGGCTGAGCTCGTGTGATCTCCAGGGTATGTGAGTGCTGGCGTGCGGGCGTGGGCTCCCTCCTGCCTCCCCCGTGGATCTGCATTCATGGAATAGAAGCTTAGAGAAGGGGTTTCTGAGGGGCGTCCACCCCAGCACCGAGGGCTGCAGTGAGCCATGGTTTTCATGGAACCAGAATCTCGGGAGCGGGACTGCTCCCGCTCGCTTCAGGAGCTGCTGCTGCTGCTGCTAAAGAAAGAAAACACCATTTCCTTGTTAGATACGCAAAACGTCTTTGGCTGAAGATTCTCTGTTCCACATCTTCATACTCAAGCTAATACCGGGATGCAGATGACGAGCAGTGCGAATATTTATAGATGTGGCAAGATGTCAGTCAATAGGAAACAGACTTCTCCATCTTAAAGAAGAAAAAAAGATTGCTGGATGCCGATGGCTCACGCCTGTCATCCTAACTTCTCAGGAGGCTGAAATCTGAGGATCATGGTTTGAAACCAGCCTGGGTAAGAAAGGCCATGCGATTCTCATTTCCAGTGAACCACCAGAAAACTGCAACTGTGGCTCGGTTGGCAGAGGGCCAGCCTTGAGCGCAGAAGCTCAAGGATAGCACCCAGGCCCTGAGCTCAAGCCCCACAACTGACAAAAACAAATAAATAAAAATAAATAAAGGTCCCAGGACAGCTGAGGGCAATCTTGTGTGCCAACGGGAGAAGCACTGCAGTGTAGAATTGAAGACAGTGAGCAAGTAAGGAATGTTCCAGAAACATCTAGAAACAAGAACTAGGAACAAATGGTAAAGCTTTTGTGGGATTTGAAACAGAAATAGTTATTGTGGCTTACTCAAGCTTTAGAGAAATAGCAGGTTTTTACACGAGAGTAAGGAGATACGTAGTCTGAGTTTGCGCATCTTAGGTCCAGGTGTGTGAAGCATTGCATTGTGGGGTTGCCCTTCGTTGGCAGTAAGCGGATGGTTGTATTGACTGTGTGACACACTGACTCTCCTTCCACCGGGAGGTACCAGGTGCACCCCTGTGCTAAGACGTGGGGTACATAAAGATCCAGAAAGAGCTGTGTTCTGAGGCGGGGCTGAGGGACGCTTGTTCCTCACCCAGGCCCATGGAAGTGGGCACGAGGGAGCCGCTACCAGCCCGGCTCGTCCAGTGCCGTCGAGGGGCATCATTGGAAGACCCATATTTGCATAAAAGTCCTTTCTACACGCAGTGTGGGAGCAGCGTGGGGCGAGCCCTGCGGAAGGCCGCACTGCGTTGCCCTCGGTTTGGCTGCGCGTCCTCTGTTTGTGCAGGTTTTGTGTCAAGTGTGTTTGATCAGGCACTCGCGACGGTGAATTGGTGTCGTGTTGTGCGCTTTGACCCAATAACCTTGGCATTTACTGAAGGCAGCGCAGGCCCTGGCCTACCAAAGCAGAACAGAGCTAAGGCTGGAGGCGCCTGGCTCCAGCAGAGCCGGGGCGGGCGCGCCCACGGCCTCCCTGCGGGACTCACCTTCATTCTCACACCTCCGAGCCTGGGCAGCGCTGGCCCTCATCAGCTTCCCTTGTTGCTGGGTAAGGTTAGTGAAGCCCTTTTCTGATTGGTACTCATGCAGCTGTGCTTTGGGCCAATCAGTGGCCAGCTTCAGTTCTCACCAGGCTGAGCACTGGAGGAAGCAGCTCTCTCTTGTGGGAGACTGAACTAAGAGTGGCTGCAGATGGCTCCCTTCTGGCGTCTGTTCTTAGCCCCGAACACCTGACACGGGGCAAGCGGGAGGGCGGCTGCGATACTGTTTTTATAATTAGGGCACTTACAAAACGGGACAAGGAGTGTGTTGCATGGAGTGGGGTGCCCGTGTCCCCCCTGCCCTGATGTGGGGGCAGCAAGGAGCTGTGGTGGAAATCCAGGCATGCGAGGGCCTCCAGGGCCGGGCCGTGCGCACTATGCGTGGCCAGGACTGCTGAAGGTTGGAGCTGGGGATTCCTAACAACAGGGGTGGAGGGTAGGAAAAATAATGCTCATTTGTTTGGATCTAAGGTTCTGTGAACATCTGTAAGGATATACACATATAGACAAATAGACGTATGTGTGTGTGTGTGTGTGTGTGTGTGTGTGCGCGTGCATGCGTGGGTGCGTGCGTGCACCCACATATCTTCGTATCTACACACGTCCTATGCAACTTTATAATTTTGCAGACTCATTGATGTAGCAAAGCATGCTTTCATGGACTGTCCACGCTGGACTCGTTTCTCAGGTAAGGAGTGAGTTTGTATCTCTAGAAACATGCACATGTATTAAATATTTAAGAGATGTGCACGTAGTGTGTGTCTGCTGTGTGCTCAGCACACACCTCACGCATGCGCACGCATGCAGACTACGTTCTAGATTACTTCTGTCACACTGGGTCTGACCTTCCCGTCCCTGGCCTGTTGCTGGGCAGGATTCAGAGTGCCGGCCACTGATTGGCTGACTGGGTGTGTGAGCTGCCCGCCACAGCCACTTAGATTCCTCAGCTGTCTGAGCTGACCATTGTAGGCCGAGACAAAACAGCTTCTCTTTGTTGTGTCCTAGGAGGGTCTATGAGAAAGAAGGAAGACAGCCAGGAGATAGAGGGGTCACTTAGGGGGCTCCCTGGGCTTTTCCCAAAAATTACTTCCCAAGAATGTGAAAATAAAAATCCTTTTACAAGTTACAGAGAGATGTTTACAGGTACCAAGTACACCAGTCTGTGGTTGGTGACATGGTAGTTGCTTGTAGACACGGCAGACATTTCCCACTGTCATACACACTTCTTTCCTGTGGGAATGAGTGTCATCCCGTGGCTCTGTACTGCAGCTCCCAGAGTCAGCCTTTATTTTGCAGAAGAGACTTAGGAGTGGCGTCTGAGATCCAGATGATCCTCAGAATTTTCTGGTACAATAGCCGTGGGAACTTGTTTGCCTGTGACTCTTTTCCTCAGTGGGCAAAGGAGATTTCCAGAGCAGGCTGCTGATTGGTTTGCACAGATGTGGCTGAGCAAGTACACTGCCTGCTCACACTCACGCCATTTCCTGGTTGCTTTGTCTGTTTTTCATTCTACTGAGAACCAGAGGCGGCGGGGGACGTGTGCTCCCTTGTGGGCGTGGGTGGTACTTGCTCTTTTTGCCAAGTGTGCCCAGGTTGCTACTGACCCCATTACCACAGTAAACATTACTCGGGCCAGGGGGTAATTTAGTACTAAACTTGAACATTTTACTTGTTGGATTATCTGATTCTCATATGAAATAGCAAAATTGTTGATAAGTAACGAATATGTAATTCATTTAAGTGTCTCAAACTCTCAACTCTGTGCCTAAAAACACACTGATGGACTTAGAGATTATGGTGGTAACATGGAGTGCTCACTGCACTCTCCGTGTGCAATGTAAATTGATTAGTATTAAATAGGCCTCACTTGTTTCCTTTTTAAGACAACTAAAACCTGAAGCGTTAGGTAGCTTAAAATGTCACTAAGTAAGTACCTAGGAGAAAGGAATTAGAAACTGTGGCTGTCTAGACTTCTTGTTTGTAAGCCACTAAAAGTTATAGAAAGCATTTTCATTTCTCCCTGGTGTTGCTAGGATTGGAGCTCAGGGCCTGGCGCTTGCTAATCAGGTGCCCTACCATCTCACCCATGCCCCCAGCCCTAGTTGACTTTTTCAGATAGTGTCTTGGTTTTTCCCTGGTGATCTTTTCCCTTCTTGATCTTTTGCATAGCTGGGGTTACAGACATAGCACCACTATGCCCAGATTATTGGTTGAGATGAGGATCCCTCTAACTTTTGACAAGGCTGGCCTCAAACTCTGGGTCTCTTACTCCCTGCCTTCCCAGTACGGGTGTGCCTCACCACATCTGGTCACACAAAAGTGCGTGTATGGATGTGTAAATGGGTGTATGTGGGTGTGCGGACGTTTACGTGATATAGTCGAGAACAGAGTGGTTATACACATTGATTTCCCATGGGCCAGGTTCACCTGAGCAGCCTTGCGTTCTCCACTCAAGCTGCCCAGCACACGGGGAGTGGGCACCGAGGGGCATCTCCCCATGCCGGCTGCTTAGGGACTGTTGGCATGTTGGCCTAGCTGTAATGAAGGCTGCTGGCATGCTTTGCCCGCATTGAAGATAGTTTCCTTGGTTCAAGGTTACTGCGTTGTAACTGCTTTTAATACATTTGAGGTACGAGTCTCTTCATCAGATAGGACTTCCGAGTGTTTTCCCTCTTCTCTCCACCCCCTCCCTGTCTCTTTTCTTGTCCTCTCTTCTCTTTCTCTCTACCCTCGCCCTCCTCCTCTCCTCTCTCTACCCTCTCCCTCCTCTCTGCTCTGCTTCCTCCATTTGGAGAGGTGCTCTACCACTTGAACCACAACCCTAGACTTTTGAATTTTCTTCTGGTTTGCTTTTATTTGTTTTCAAGTCCTGGGGCTTGAATTCAGGGTTTGGGCCATGTCACCAGGCTAGCACTCTACCACTTGAACCACGACTCTACTTCTGGCTTTTTGGTGGTTAATGGAGATAAGAGTCTCATGAACTTTCCTGCCCAGGCTGGCTTTGAGCCACGATCCTAAGGTGTCAGCCTCTTGAGTAGCTGGGATAACAGGTGTGAGCCAATGACACCCAGCTCTTTATCTGCTTTTTAAAGCTCCTATATCTCTGTTAGTCTCTAAATTCCATATTGAAAATGAAAATTGTTCCTTTTTTCTCCCCTGGTTTCTTCCTGGTTATTGATCTTCTGGTATGGACCAGAATAGCCTTTATCACTTCGGAGTTATATAAACCAGGCAAATAGGAAAATTTGCACGCAGCAAGTTCTTTATGTCATTATTTCAAAATGACCATTTGTCTTCTATTTGGACAGGATATCTACTGTCGGTGTCTCCTTCCGGATCAGTGTTTAGAAAGCCTAATGAATTACGTGACTTATTTCCGTTATCAAGCTCTTTATCTCCTTTTTTTAAAGTTTCGAGATGGATTGTATAGAAGAACCTCAGAAAAAAATCTTCAAGGCTCGGAAAACAATGAGAGTGAGCGACCGGCACCAGCTGGAGGCGGTATACAGGGTGAGGGGCGAGTTGTTGAAGACTGATGCCAAGCTCGTCAACGGCAACCACGAGAACGGAGACCTGGACCCGTGCTCCCCGCTGGAAGGCGCAGACTACATGAAAGAAGATGAGGACATGAACGGCATTGATGGGGTTTGCTTTGACCCTGAAGACAGTAAGACAGAGTGGGAGGAAGCGCCCGGCAGCCTCACTGTGAAAGTAAAAACTAAGCAGGGTGACACCGCAAATGGTGAGCCTTTATCTTCCGACTGTGTCACTTCAGAGGCAGCTCCTGAGCTGAACCCTGGGCCGGCCTCTGGCGAGCCGGCCTCTGGCGAGCCGGCCTCTAGTGAGCCGGCCTCTGGTGAGCCGGCCTCTAGTGAGCCGGCCTCTGGTGATCAGGCTTCTAGTGATCTGGCCTCTGATGATCAGGCCTCTGATGATCAGGCCTCCGGTGATCAGGCCTCCGGTGATCAGGCCTCCGGTGATCCGGCCTCCAGTGAGCCGGCCTCCAGTGAGCTGGCCTCCAGTGAGCTGGCCTCCAGTGAGCCGGCCTCCAGTGAGCCGGCCTCCAGTGAGCCGGCCTCCAGTGAGTTGGCCTCCAGTGAGCTGGCCTCTAATGAGCCGGCCTCTAATGAGCCGGCCTCTACTGAGCTGGCCTCCAGTGAGCCGGCCACTGGAAAGGCCGCCTCTGGAGTTGTGGCCCCTGGTCATTCTGAAGGTGTTGATTCCAATCCTGGTGATGTCCCCTGTGCCGGTGCCCCACCCCACAGCCCCGCATCTGTGGACCACACCACACCCCGTGACCCTACTTGTGAAGAAGCCGCCACCGGTGACCTCGCCGCTGGCGACTCCACTGCTAGTGAGCTTTTTTCGGACAAGCCGGTTTCTGCTGAAGAGGCCTCTGCCGAAGCAGCCCCTGGTGCCACCGGTGCCGCTGCTCCCGGGGGCCTGCCCGCTGCTGGCCTGTCTTCCGGTGATGACCTCCCCGCCGGTGATCCTGGCTGCAGCGCACGGGACTCGGATGACCCGGCCTCCTCCAAGCTGGCTCCGGCCCAGCCAGCCTCTGGTGAACCTGCCGCTGGGGCACTGACTGGCGAGTCAACCCCTGAGCCCGCCTTGAAACCTACTTCCGGATCCGGTGGTGAGCCAGTGCCTGAAACTGACCATCCGGAGCAGAGCAGCAGTAGAGACGGTGCGTCCCTGGTGAGCAGCGAGGACGGTGGCAGCGCTGACCGGAGCCCGCGCGGGGATGCCCTCGAGGAAGAGAGCAGCGCCGAGACCAGTGCTGCCAGTCCGAAGGAAGGGCGAGAAACAGACGGTGCGACGGCGTGTTCAGATCTACCTCCCGAAAACGAGCAGAAAGCCAGTGAAGACCCTGCCGCCGCCGCTGAGGGGGACGAGGGGGACGAGGCCATCTCCAGCAGCGTGCAGATGGACGGAGCGGACAAGGATGAGGACGAGGAGGAGAGTGCCGCCCGCCTCCTCCAGGCCGCCAGGGACGAGACCGCCGCCAGAGACAGCGGCGAGGAGAGTTTAGAACACACGGACTCCATGGAGACAGACGAGATCATTCCCATTTTGGAAAAACTGGCACCTTCCGAAGACGAGCTCACTTGCTTCTCCAAGAGTTCCCTCCTTCCAATGGAAGAGGCAAGTCTAGATCTGGAAGAGAAAATGGAAGGCTCTTTTGGCTCACCTTCGAAGCAAGAGAGCAATGAGAGTTTGCCGAAGGAAGCCTTCCTGGTCCTCTCGGATGAGGAGGACATCTCGTGTGAGAAGGACGAGTCCGAGGCCATGCCCCAGCTCCCCGCGTGCTCCCCAGGTGAGCTCAGCCTTGGGGTTCCTTTTGTTCCTTTTGTTGGTGACGGGAGGGAGGGGGGGAGGGAAGGATGGAGGTTTCACTTAGTGATCACCTAGCCAAATCTGCAAGCATACTCATTTATTCACCAGCTCCAAGCATAACCTCATAATCTTAATGAATCTTACCAATCAAAGGTGCTTTGAATGGACTTGCTTTTAAAAGTCCACTACCATAGTTGGAAGGTGAAAGCTTGAAGCCTTCTTACCTGTTCCCTCCATCCCCCGCAGCTCTTGGAGCCCGGCTTTCCCCCTCGTCTCGCCCTCACCCCCTTCTTTCATAAAGTCCCGGGTGCTTTTAGCTTGCCTGCAGACTCTTCTGCAAAAGATCGATAGACTTCATGATTTGGTAAATACCCACCTCCCATCTTTTATTTTTCATTGTCTTTTGTTTGCCAGTCCTGGGGCTTGAACTCAGGGCCTGGGCCCTGTCCCTGAGCTTCTGTGTGCTCAAAGCCAGTGCTCTACCACTTGAGCCACAGCACCACTTACGGCTTTTTCTTTAATTTTTTTTTTTGGGTCCAGCCATGGGGCCTAGGCGCTGTCCCTCAGCTCTTCAGCTCAAGGCTAGCGCTCTACCACTTGAGCCACAGCGCTGCTTCCGGCTTTTTTCTTTTTGCTTAATGTGCTGTGGAATCGAACCCAGGGCCTCAGACATGCAAGGCAAGCGCTCTACCACTGAGCCACCTTCCCAGCCCCACTTACGGCTTTTTCTAAATGGTTAATTGTGGATGAGTCTTGCGGACTTTCCTGCCCAGGTTGGCTCTGAACTGTGATCAGATCTCAGCCTCCTGAGTAGCTAGGATTTTAGTTGTGAGCTACCAGCACCTGGCTCCAGTTTTTAATTCTCACAGAGAGAGGAAAAAAGAAAAATTTGAATTGCTTTTGTAGTTAACTTCAAGCATCATTACTGAATAAAACCTTTTATGCCCATCAGATTACATGACAAGGTTTTTGTTGTATCTTATGGCATTGTCTGTGAGGGAAAGCGTGGTAGCATGAACAGCGTTTTCTTGTTTGTTCCAAGTAAGAATAAGGAGGCAGGCCTAGTAGAAAAAAATGGAAGATCTTCCTTCAGTGTATCATAGCAGCTTTTGGAGATAAGTTGGTTTTGGTTTTGGTTACAAGGTTTGAACTGGGACCCTCATGCTTGCTGGGTAGTTACTCTTCTAGAGACACGTTCAGCTCTGTTTTCTGTAGCATTTTTAATCAATCATATTTTATGGACCTCTTAGAAAAATCACTCAGTCTTTCCGACTATTACTGTTCCCGTGTGTATCATGGCACATGTAGGTTATATGGAGGAGAGATCTAGAAAGCACCAGGCCTACTCCTTGACAGTGTTAACGAAGTATTTTCAAGGAATGTTTTTGTTGCATTCAGGATAGCCTTTCCATTCCTTGTTTATGAATTGCCCTGTGACCTACTGTGAAAATCACATGATTCTTTGTACCGCTCTGGTTAAAGTTGAGTTTATCAGAAGTTTTCTAATTTTTTTTTTAAACCTGCCACTGTCACTGTTCTAGTTTTACAAATTTAAAGGAATCTAAACGCACACAAGAGTTGTTTCCACATTTTATTATTTTATTAGTGATAGAAAATTATTGAGAAAACCGTCTTGCTTTCAAGCCTGTATTACGAATTGTTTTATCCATGTTGTTTATTACGAATTAGATAATGGCTGAATGTGCACTCGATTATTCATGCCCATCAGGTTGCGCTCCCATTTTCTTTGCAGAATTTCACATTTTGGGGCTCTGACTTTGTAAGAGTATAGTTTGGAGACTGAGTGGTTACTAAAAGTGTAAACCAATGAGTTAATATCCATTTCCTTCCTCTGTGGATCTTCTGCTCAATATTTGATTCCTACTAATCTATGAACATGGGAAGTCTTGCTGCTGCTTCATCTGACATGAATTCCCATGGGAAAGGATTTCCTTTTCTGCTTTCGTTACAGCAGAAGTAGAAACAACTGAGAAGGACAGCAAACCTGAGGAGGAAGAGCCAGTCATAGAGGAAGAGGAGGAGAGGCCTTCTGAGAAAAGTATGTGTGTAGTGTTTGAAAAATGCTCATTATTGTTTCTGGCCGCAGATGCCATGGAATAACACACGTTTCTGCCCATGAGTAACTGCAAAGCCTTACAGTTGAAGGCTGATGACTGAAGGATAACTGAGTGGGTTATTGCGTGCACTTCAGCGTTTGTATTTTATTTATATTACACGTCCACAAAAAAAATGATGGCCACCTGGACGCCAGTAGCTCACGTCTATTATTCTCGCTACTCAGGAGGCTGAGATTTGAGGATTGTGATTCAAAGCCAGCCCAGACAAGAAACTGAGACTCTTACCTCCAACAAAGACCACTAGAAAACTGGAAGTGGCACTGTGGCTCAAACAGTAGAGCACCTTGAGCTGAAGAGCGCAGGGACGGTACCCAGGCCCAGAGGTCAAGCCCCACAACTGACCAAAAAAAAAAAAAAAAAAACTGCCCTTAGTCCTCCCTGTCTCATGGTTCTTCTCGATGGTCATGTTATATAACAGGCGCCATGGGGCGCGGCTAGAACCCGTGCTGTCTCCGTGTATAGAGTAGAGGGAGGTGGGGGGGGATTAATATGATCATATTGAGAAGATATGAGGAATTTTAGACATTGTAAAATAAACCAGATGAAATCTGCTTGTGATCCAATGAATGGCAACATGATTGGAGATCACCTAAAGTTGTAGCTGATTTTTAAAGCACATTTGTAATCAATGTCACACGCTTCTCCCCGCCCCCAACCACTTCCCCTCCAGTACTAGGAATTGAGCCCAGAGCCACACACACTAGACAAGTGCTCTACCACTTCAGTCTGCGCCCTAAAGCTCAGGTGCACTTTCGCGGTAACATTAATTTTGTTAGCTGTATATGCTCCAAATCCACTAAGATATGTTAAAAGTAACTATTAGAATACTGTTGTTAGCTGGCCGCTGGTGGCTCCCGCCTGTCATCCTAGCTACTCAGGAGGCTGAGATCTGAGGATCGCCGTGTAGAGCCAGCCCAGGAAAGTCTGTGAGAGACTTACCTCCAACAAAAACCACCAGAAAACCGGAAGTGGAGCTATGGCTCAAGTGGTAGAGCACTAGCCTTGAGCTGAAGAGCTGAGGGACAGCGCCCAGGCCCAGAGTTCAAGCCCCACGACCGACAAAATAAAAAAAGAATACTGTTGCTTTCTTAAGTCTAGGGGGGGTAAGCAGTTGTCCGATATTTACTGAGGCAGAAGAATGAAATAATCCAAGCTATGTACACTTGACAGAAGTCTGTGATGTTAGAATACATTCTGTATTTTTTTCAGAGTACTGTGCACACTGTGTGTGGGATTTAGTAAGGGAAAGAATACAAGATGATCTCCACTTGCTGCAGGCGTAGCTATAGAGAATTCTCCATTTTACTAGTTGTTTTCAGGGGAAAGAGGTTCTGCACTTAATGGCGAATGTTGCTTAGTCATTAGAAAGTTCTTAGCGTTCTGAAAATGTCACCTGATGTTCATAGCTAAAAGTATATACATAAAATGCAATTCGTAAGAGAATTGGTTAAGAATCCTATTGTGAGGGTGGAAGATAGTTAACAAATCTTGTCATGAAAACACCCGACTAATCACTGTGGCTTTTGCCCTCAGGTGAGTGTTCAAGAAGAAAACGTTCTAAATCAGAGGACATAGACAATGTACAGTCCAAACGTCGAAGGTACTTAGAGGACGAATACGAGGCAGAGCTTCAAGTAAAGATTACTGCCAAAGGAGACATTCATCAAAAGCTTCAAAAGGTGTTGTAAATGATAACTTAAAAGGCCCACGGCCCAGAAACTCATCTCAACCATGTGTGATGGGGGGGACACACACTCGGCCCTGTGGAAGTGTGCACAGACTCACACCCGAGCCTCCCCAGGTGCGAGCACAAGCATAAAGGCCTGAGGGCGTGGCTCCAGTGTGTGCCTGGCAAGCACAAAGACCCAGGTTCGAATCCTAATGCCAACAGCAACAGCAGAAAAGAATGGTGATGCTTCTAGATTTGTGGTATGATAGCATTCTATGTTTAACTGACATCCAGTTTATCATGGAAAGAGACAATGTGAAATGGTTGAGCTTATGAAGTCTTATTATTAAATAGATTTTGTACCTTGTATTTTTTTAGTGCTCAAATAAGGTGATTTCCTAGTTGTACACCTGTGCATTCTAAAATCTTTGTTATGTGCTTTAGTGTTAGGGAAAGAAATATGGAAGGATTGTGAAAGTCTTCCCCATAAATTTGTCAGGGGAGACAGAAAGAACAAAAACACTCACTATTTTAGGTATTTTCAAAATGTGTTCACTGATCCTTATAGTAAATACCTCAAAACTCAGGCGAGGCTAGTTTTTCGAACATTGTATATTCAGTTGTGCCTTTATAAAGCCAGATTCTTCCGCTGAGATAAAAACCAGATACCCACATTTTCTGGAAAAAGGAACAGCATGACAATAAAAACAGCGATACTTTGTTCCTTGTCTCATCTCTGTTCTGCATATTTAGATAATGTTAGTCTGTTAGCTGTGTTAGGATTATGAAGAGGCGAAGTGTGTAAGAACTGTGCAGACTTGTAAGTGAACCGAGAGCTTGCATTGGAAAGGTGTAGTTCATGGGTCTGCTGAGGATCCTGTGTTTTGTTTGTCATAATGAAGCAATAATGCGAATTGTAAGTAGGTGGTTAGAAATGTTGTATAGGATAGACAAGCATTATTAGTGCATCTCATAAGAACTAACCAATGTATAGTAGAACAGAATTTTTTTAAACCACTGCTTTAATTTCCTTTAAATTATTGGAACAGGAGCTATGGGAAGAAAGTACTTAAACTTCACAATTTTACTCTACCATCTTGAGGTCGATGCCACCCACGTAAATGGAAGTAGGGGTTTTCAGCAGGTAGAATCGATTGTGGGGTGTATTTAACCAGCTAAGCAGTTTCATTCATTAGAGTTAATCAATTATCATCATTTTATATGTACTTGTATACATACTTCTTGCTGTTGTTTTGCTTGCTGATTGACTTCTGCAGAACAGCATATAGAATGAGGACTGGGTGTTTCTTTAGGTTGTGCAGTGGTTACTGGAAGAAAAGTTGTGTGCGCTGCAGTGTGCTGTGTTTGACAAGACTCTGGCGGAGCTGAAAACGCGAGTGGAGAAGATCGAGTGTAACAAAAGGCACAAGACCGTCCTTACCGAGCTGCAGGTTTGTGAGCACCGGCTGCTAGCGTTGTACAATGTGTTCCCTGCGGTGTGCCATCGCGGAAGACTAAAATACATTGACATTCTAACTGTGAGCAGTCAGAGGGGCCTTAGCGTCCCAGGGCTGCTATCAACCCAACCCAGTGGAGTGGCTTTACCTACAAAGCAAGATTACCTGAGAGAGTCGATGTCAATAGGGTCGGTGCTCTGAGGGCTGGTGTGTGTGTGTGTGTGTGTGTGTGTGTGTGTGTGTGTGTGTGTGTGTGTGTGTGTGTGTGTGTGTGTGTGTGTGTGTGCGCGCGCGCGTGTGCGTGCGTGCGCGTGCGCACGATGTGCATGCATGTGTATGTGTGTGTGTGAGTCTGTGGCCCACCCCTATGCTTCCTTCCTCTCCAGCTAGCAAGTGGATGGATGGTCTGGATGTCCGTGCCTTGCAGCGGCGTCCCCTTGCTCTGGGGCTGGGCTCTTCCTTCACACGGTGTTGCATCTGGATGTGTGCTGCTGTTCGGTTCTTTCAGGTTTAATCACCATTCACGAAAGACTGATAGGTAACCTGCTGTATGTGCAAAAGCATTTTATCAGTTCACTTCCTCCATGGGTCTTACATTCAGTATTTACTACTAGCCCGTGGACATGGAAGGTCTCTTTTCTTCCAATGCATTTCTTCTTCAGGACTTCTATCTCTTTCACTGTAATAGTCTTTAGACTATTTGGTTAAATAGTCTATTTCCTTACTTGTTTCTTGAGGTTAGCATGAATAGGACTATTTCCCTGATTCCTTCTCATTGCGTTCATTATTAGTATATTTAGAAAAGCCATCTACTTTCTATGCTGATTGGTTATCTTGCTGCTCTGCGTGGGAGTATTTAGAGATTTCAAGTGTAGTCATGTTGTCTGCATACAGGGATAACTGGACACCTTTCCTTTTCGTATCTCTCTCTGACCATATTACTCTGGCTAAGAATTCAAGAAGAGTGGAGAGAGTGGATGCATTTGTCTCATTCCTGACTTTAGAAGAAATACTTTCAGGTTTCTAAAGAGTCTTTATTATGTAGAGGTGTGTTTCTTTCTGTTTCAACTTTGTTCAGGGCTTTTCGTCATAAAGGACTGACATTTTGTTAAAAGCTTTTTCTGCATGTGTTAAGGTGATGGTACAATTCCCTTGTTTGCAATTATTTGCTGCATGACATTGATCCATTTGCCTACTTAGACCCATCCTTGCCTACCTGGATCAAAACTAACTTGCTTTGTGCCCGGTGGTTTTCATGTGTTGTTGAAGTTACAATCTGTTTTGTTAAGAATTAATTACTAAGAGTTTTTCGGTCTGCGTTTATCAGAAATCCGCGCATCGCTTACTTTTGTCCTGACCTGGTTTTGGTGTCAGGGTAATTCTGGCTTCATAGAGTGAATTTCGTAGCGTTCCTTCCCTTTCAGTTTTCTGGATCATGAGTTGGCAGTTCTTAAAGGCCTTAGAATCTACCAGTAAATACATCTGGTCTGGGCTGCTCTTTGTTAGGAAATATTGCTGTTTCAGTTCTCTGCTCTTAGGCATGCTGAAGTAGTTTAGCCTTTCAGTTTCATTTCAATGTCATTTGTGTCTTGAAATAGGCCTTTTCCTTCTAGAGTTTACAATTTATTGAAATATATGTATTGAAAGCACATCCTAATGATTCTCTGGTTTTCACTGGAATCTGTTGGAATATTTTTTAAATTTAAGTCTTCTCTCTCTCTTCTCTAGTTTGGCTAAGGGTTTGTTAATCTTAATTGTCTTCTCAAAGAACAAAGTCTCATTTCCTTGATTCCTTGTCTTGTTCTGTTAGCCTCTATTACATTCATTTCCACCCTGTTCTTTGTGTCTATCCATGTAATACTTTCTGATTTGGCTTTTGTTTTTCTTAGTTCTCAAGGTGTATCATATAGGCACTCATATATCTATCTACCAAACCTTCTTAAAAACTGTTTTTGCTGTGTCCCAAAGCTTCTGGTTAGTTTGTCTTATTTCATCCTAGAAACTTTAATTTGCCCAATTTTTTCACAAGTACATTGATCAGTTTCCATGTATTAGTAGAGTTTTTCTTGCTGTTGATTTTTTTTAATTATTTCTTTCCATCATCTGTTTAGGATAAAAGAAATGATTTGTTTTTTGTATTTGTTGAGATTTGCTGTGTGGCCTATAATACGATCTATTTTGGAGAAAGTTCCATGGGCTGCTGTTGGAGGGCGTGCTCTGTACATGTCTGTTATTGACTGGTTATGCATTTTAACCTGAAGTGCTTGTTCCTTTTTGTGTCTGGTGTTTGGAGGATGTCATGGGGTGAGGGGGGTCCTGAAGTCACCTCCTGTTCCTGTCTGCAGAGCACTCTGCCCCTTTATGTCCACTTGTGTTTAAGTGGAGAGTTAATACCATGGATATTCACTTATTATTGAAAGATAATTGCTGATGCCTGCAATCTTGCTGTGTTTTCCTTGTTGACTTAAGTTCTGTTCGTTTTGTCCCTTTCTCCTTTGTTTTCTCAGGAGGCGATCGCTGATGTACTGAGTAGATGGTTTTCTTTCCTTTCTAATTCTCTTGTGAACTTTACTTTCACTGGGCTTTCATGTTGGTGACTTCTCCATCTGTGTGTATGATTCCTGGCTTAAATGGTCATGAATTGTTTGAGTTGGACCTTCTCTGAGAAGGTCTAGTTCTCCATGGATTTGAAAGGATAACTAGGTTGGGTATGGTAATCTTCCATGGTAGTTCCTAAATTTGGCCTTGTGTTGTGCGCAGCAGTGTCTGTGTAATAAAATGATGAGCCATCCGCAAATGTAGTCGTTGTTGGTCTCTGGGGATGTGTTCCAAGGCCAGCGCATGCCCAGATAGATGCATGCCCAGATGCCCGAGCTCCACGCAGTGCCGCAGATGCCCGGTGCATTTCAGCTTCGGCTGCAGACGTGAGGCCTCCCATCAACCCAGAAGTGCTCACTCTATCAGCCGAATGAAGCACGCTCACCTTCTCCTTGCTTGTTGGGCACCATTTGTCATTTGGGGAGGCCAACTTTCATCATACTGCAGACGGATGGGCTTCCGTCATTTCTCTATAAGGGAGGAAAAAGTAATTATGTACAAATATTGCGTAGTTTTACTATGATGTGGTTTTAGTTGACTTCTAATTTGATTCTGTTATTATTAAGTAGCTTTAATTCTGTCAGTCGGGTCGAGCACGCTGCATCTTGATCCGTGTCACCCCTTTCGTGGTCCCGCGGGCCACAGAGAGGTAATTGTCACTCTGACTCCCGGGTGGCGCCGGGGAGATGGTTGTTTACTTGCATGCACAAATTGTGCTGTCAAAGTGGAGCGAGCTGCTGTTGTATAAAATGGAGTCACTCAGGGCCAGGCTCAGCTGCTAGTGAACACACTTTGCTCTTAATTATGTTCTCAGCAGCCGGTTACCTGGGGATTTGGGGTAGGTTTGTGTGGCCTTTTCACTGCTAGATTGCCACTTGATTTTCTTCTCATGTTTCTTCCATTTCAGGCCAAGGTAGCCAGGTTAACCAAACGCTTTGGAGCAGCCAAAGAAGACCTTAAGAAAAGACAAGAGGTAAGAGTTTCTGCTAATGCAGCAGTTTTAGGAAACACTGAGCTGTCATGAAAGTGTTTTTTTTTTACTTTATTACAAGTTGAAATTGGCATTTATAATACACACTACTACACTCCCGGAGCTGCAGCTTGAAGCACATTCTCCAGGACCGGTGATGCTGTGTGACTCCATCCTCAGCTGCACTTCCTGTCCATCCTTAAGGTGGCTGCGATTTGTCTCTCCTTGCAGTGTCACACCTAGTACAGGTTGTGTCCCTCTGTGCCTCAGCCCCTCCTCCTCCAGTACTGTTGCTCCTGCAGCTCTCCAGCAGAGGGGACACAGTGCAGTCAGTGCCTAAGACAAATGCAGCATTTTCTTTAGTAAAGAGTTAAGTCCACACATCACAGGCTAGTAGTTGTCCTCTGCAGTCTGCCTTACGCTCTATTACTTACTAGTCTACTGTTCTTTTATTCTTTATATTTTTCATCCAGCAGCTGCATACTATGTTACAGATGAGTTGAATTTCTTTCCCCTTGAACTTTTTCATTTGAGCAAATTACAGTCTCTTTGTTCTTTATAGCTCCATTATCTAGACTATCATAATTGCCAGTAATTAAAATCATTCTTGTGTAACTTATACAAGTAGTTTCAGTGTTAACACAGTTTTATATTTTCCTTACTTGACTGTTTAACAAACAATTTAGTTTGAAGCAGTGATAGATTGCTCAGAGGTCCTGTGCGTCTCACCTGGCTTCTACCCATGTGAGAGTTAGTGCTCTATCTTAGCACAAGGTCAGAACCAAACATCAGGACGTCAGCAATGTGGCTGGCTTTTCCATTCGTTCATTCTTGTGTTGTGAGCACGCGCATGTGTGTATCTTGTGCAGTTGGATCGCGTGTGTGGGTTCGTGTAAGCCTCACCACTAGGCTTGGCCGATGGTTCAGTTACGACACAGAGCTCTTCTGTCACGTCGGATCCAGGCTTCTCTTCACAATCTGCTTCCCACCTCCTCTCTTAAGCTTTTTAAGCTCTGCTTCTCTTCCCCGGAGCAGCTGGCGTGTGTTGTCACTGTCCCAGAGAGTCACCTTTCCAGGTGACAGTTTGGTCATCTAGGCTCTTCATTGTGGTCTCACATGATGTGATTGCCCACGAGCCGTTTTACATGAGAAGCATTTGGCCTTGGACGTTTCCATTTTGTTGAGCACGGTGTCAGTTTTCCTTTTCTCCATTCCTTCTTGTGTCCGAACTCAGCAGCTGTGTGTGCTGCGGGTGGCGGGCTGCCGAGGGCGGCAGCATGGAGGAGTGTGTTCTCACACGGGCCGTGTACTGGACTCCTGCGCCCGTTGGCTCTGCTTCCTTCTTGCTTCTTGTTTTCCTGGCCCAGTAATTGCCTCTGGCCTTTTCTCAGGGGTGTGGCCTCGTCTCTTCACTGGGCCCGGTGTGCCCTCCGCGCGCGGCAGGGAGGGTTGCCCGTCAGGCACGCACCTCGGGCCACGATCTGGATAGGAAGGACTCCAGCCTTTCCTCCAAAGGCTCATAATTTGAAATACAATCCCTACCTGAAAGAGAAAGACGGTGGAAACTTAAATCTGACTGCAGCCTCTGGAGGCGGAAGGTGAGGCACAGACAAGGCCACCAGCGTGAGCCCTGCGCCAACAGGTCCTGATGACTGATGGGAAAGAGGGAGAGACCAGAGGCAGATGGAGCATGCGTGCGCATGCGCACACACACGTACACGCGAATACCTCCCATCTCCCCTCATGTAGTGCTGTGCACCATCCTGGAACACTGCTAACAAAAGGCAGCACCAGCCCTTCCTTTGGACCTGCAGAACTCTGAACTCTGTTCTCTATAAAGTTACTTGTCCCTGGCATCCAAGGATAAAGGGAACAAGGATAAAGTTGCTACGCTGCAGCATCAAAACTTGATTCTCTGTGGATACTCGTCTTACTCATGCATCCTCTTTCTGGTTTGCTTTAGTTTATCTCCCCAAGCATCTTAATAGCAATTATTTTGAATTCTTTATTGGATTCTCTATTTCTTTAGGGTCAGTTAAATGGTGTCCTTGTTCCGTGTTCCCTGATTCTACCTTTCTTTGGAGTTTGAGGAGGGAGAAGGCTGGTCAGTGGTGTGTGTGTGCAGTGGAATTTGAGAATTTTTGATCAAAGTGAACTATATTAAATGTTGAGTAGAGTCATGTGGTTTGTTCTTCTATGGAATGAATAAGGAGGGCATTGTTATCAGAAACTTGACTTGTAACTAATATGTGGATGTTAGAATTTCATTTCTATTTCTTTGGCTTTGAGGGCACAGAGCTGAAATTGGGACGTCTTTTTGTGAGATTACTCAAGTCACATAGAGATGGGTACGCGTTTTAAAAACAAAACCTTAAAAATAAATTTGGTTTGAGAATTTTTGATCTGTGACTTTAGACATGTCGACTCTTTTGTTGAATTTCTGCTGGGTTGGCAAGTTGGCCGTTTTCGTCTTTTTATGTTTTCCTAAGATCACTGAGGTATAGGAATTACAGTGTTCATCCTCAGATGATGAGCAGTTGTCTTCCACAGAGAAAATGACAAGCTGCAGTCACCAGGTACAACGCCAGGTTCAAATTCTTGTCTTCACCAGTCATGTTTTCCACTGCGTGACAGAAATGACCTATCACATAGGGAGAAAGCACTGAAAATTCCTCTTTTGAGAAAGAAAAGTTTGTATTTTGGGTCTTAACTTTGGTATTTCCTCGTGCCAGAGCCCACCAAACCCACCCGTGTCCCCAGGAAAGCCCGTGAATGACATCAACAGCAATAACAACATGGTGTACAGGTGAGGCTACGCACTCTGTGATCGGCAGGAAAAATAATGTGGGAGTGTGCTTTCTGCTTTGCTACATTGCCCATCTGTAGATACTACTTTTGCTAATATAGAAAGGACTATTTTGTTACCGTGTAGCGTGTGTTCGTGTGCACGTGTGCGTGTGCGTGCTGGGGATCAAACCTAAGGCCGATACTGTGCCTGGCCAATGCTCCGCCCCTGCCCCTCCCCTGCAGTCCCCTGCGTGTTTCCTTATGCACCGGCCATTCCTGGTCTCTTAAGGAAGGAGAAGGGCTCCATCCACTCAGTCTTGGGGTCAGGGCTGCTGATTTTAGAAGACCAGGCCATAGACCCCATCATACGCCAACTGAGTCCGGGTGGCGTTGCTTGTGGAGTTGGGTGGCAGAGCCCAAGTCTGGCCTCCCCCGCCCCAGGCCTGCCCATTGACCTGCGCACGCGTGTCTGTTCCATAGAACTGCAGGCACAGTGAGGCAGATGCTGGAGTCCAAAAGAAATGTAAGCGAGAATGCGCCGCCATCGTTCCAGACCCCTGTGAACACAGGTAAGAGTTTTGAACATCAGAAAACCACTCAGGGTTGGGTTCTCTTAGATTCTTTTGAGATTGGAAACAGGCTATAAAACAGAGACGGAGGTCTACATATGAAATATTACTAACAATTTAGCATCATAGCTAAGTATGTGTACGGGAGAATACAGAGAATTCAATTCCTGTGCAGCAGTTCCCAAACTTTCTCACCCGCATGTCTCTTCACCGTCTTATCAGACTACTAAGAAACCCTGGGAACTTGTGTACATTATACCAATAGAAGTCACACCAAGGTTCTTTTAAAAATTGCCCATTTACCAGTAGTCATCCATGATATGAAACACCAATAAATGAAGAAATAGTGGTAGTTTCCAAAATAGTGGTTGAGCACTAGATTGCCATTCACCTTCACGGACAGTGGAAGGGAGTGGCTTGGGGCATGGTTCTGTTTGCTGATTGGCTGAAGTAGAAGGAAGCTATCCAGCCCCTGGCAATTTGTGGAGACCGGAAAAAGGCCAGCCCCTCAATTTTAGATAACCGGATGTGTCTTGCTGACGCCAAGCTAGTAGTTTCTTCAGGGTTAGCACAAACCAGAGTATGAAACCAGACTAAGGAATTGTTCTTACTCACTGAGTTCTTGTAAGTCATTGCTTCGAGAAGGAAGGTCTAGCTGGGTGTGGTGGTGCACACTTGTAATCCCAGCCCTCAGGAGGCCCTGGCAGGAGGATCTCGAGTTCAATAACGTGTGACAGGGCTGCCACTCCACTGCCTTGGTTAGTAGCAGTCCTCCTGTACCCATTAGAGGAGGGGGGGAGATGGCAGGCGCCACCATCAGCTCAGCACAGCTGTCGCCCCGCAAAAAAGTCAGATGTCCCTTCATTGTCATCAGAGCTTTCACGAGTGAACTCCCTGGAAAGCTCTCGGAAAATCAAGAGTGTTTTCTAGATTGGAATCACTGCTGTAGTGCGCCTGTGATTGTAGAAAGATTGTGAGTCAGTCAGAAGCAAGTTTAGCTATTTATTTCTACCCTTGCCCCATGAGGCTAGACCTCTGTAGTTGAGTCCCAAGCACTGGAAGTCTCTGGGGACACGTCTTTCTCCTTTGTCTGGGTCACGTGCTGTGGGTAGAGTGTGTACAGAGATTTTCCTAAGGAATGGCAGAAAGCTAGATGCACGCAGCCAGGTTTCCCAGGGTCCAAGTATCAAGTACCCTGACCAAGTTTTCCTGTTAAATGCTGCAAATGGATCAAGCTTTCCCGCTGGGTTTGTGAGCTGCTGGTACTGTACAGCAGCTCTGCAGGTGTCCTGTGTGGTTGGAAACCAGTGCGTAGCATTGAATCAGATTTCAGTGTCAGCTAGTGTTTCAGACCTTCCTAGTCGCTCTGAAGTGCTTGTGCTTGTGGTTCATTTTCCAAGGTTCCTGGGCCCTGGGGCAGCGCCCCTCCACACTCATGTTTACTCAATCTCACTACACATACCACGCCCCTGTGCACACACGGTACGGGGATCCTGGATGGGCTGTAGTGACTGCACATTGCCTCATGGGGGCGCTGAGTTCATGCTGGTGCTTTCTCTCTGCAGTGTCCTCATCCAGTCTGGTTGCCCCGGCGGCAGTGGTCAGTAGCCAGCCCAAGCTGCCCACGCCGGCCACCTCGGGCTCACTCACGGCCGCGCCGCTTGTCCCCGCACCCAGCACGGCCACTGTGGTGGCCACTTCTCAGGTGCCCAGTGGCAACCCGCAGCCCACCATCTCCCTCCAGTCCTTGCCGGTGATCCTGCACGTGCCGGTGGCCGTGCCCTCCCAGCCTCAGCTCCTCCAGAGCCACCCGGGCACAATCGTGACCAACCAGCCGTCGGGCAGTGTGGAGTTCATCTCCGTGCAGAGCCCACCCGCCGTGAGCGGGTTGACCAAAAACCCTGTCTCCCTGCCGCCCCTGCCCAACCCCGCCAAGCCGGGCGGCGCCCCTCCCGTGCCCAGCCCCGGCATGCAGAGGAGCGCCACGCTGGCTGTGCAGGCTGTGCCCACGGCCCACTCCATCGTCCAGGCCACCCGCACGTCCCTGCCTCCTGTGGGCCCATCGGGCCTCTACAGCTCCTCCAGCCCCCGGGGCCCCATCCAGATGAAGATCCCCATCTCTGCCTTCAGCACCTCGTCCCCTGCTGAGCACAGCAGCCCTGCCGCGCCCAGACCCGGTGAGTGGCTGAGTTTGGCTGCACAGCCTCCAAGCACAGAGGCGGGAGAATCGCTGTTAGTAACGCTCAAGACCCCCCAGAGTGGGTGCGATTGGAGGTGGACAGGGAGGTTGTTTGCTTCCGTATGGAGGTGCAGTTTTTGTCTCTCTTTGGGGGCACATTGTGCTAAGTTGATACACGTGCACAATATCTAATAAATAGATCGGTGAAGTGCACCTCTGCGTCTTCAAGTCCAACCATTATGTAGCTGGGATTACAGGCATGAGCCACCAGCTCTGTTAGAGAATCTTTCTGTTTAACCATTTGCCTCACTGGAAGATCTTCAATGATTTTTTTCCCTTTAAGTATTCCTTAGAATATCTGACTTTCAGTGACTGGGTCAGTGGGTATTTGACCTTTGTTTATCTGGTTTGTGCATTTGCCGTGGTGACTCTGAGAAAACCATTTACTACACGGTAAATGCTAGCAGCAAAGCAGCCGTGAAGACTAAGGAGAGTTGTTACATATGAAGCCATCTGACCTTGTACCTACGTCGGTAGACAGCTGATGAAATTGTTCTCTTTCAATTCTCAGAAAACCAGGCAAACAAAACAGTAGATGCTGCTATTAATAAGAAAGCGGCCGATAGCACGTCACAGGTAAGATTGCCTTCTCTCTCCCAGTAAAACTCAACACACTCTAAAACACGGCTTTCCCTCGGTATCTGTGACTCGATGTATAATAGTGCAAGCCTGTCTTGCACAAAGGCCCATATGGTTTCTCCCAGCTTCTTGGTTAGATGCATGAACCATTAATGTATTAGATGTAGTGAAAATGCAAATTCATTTAGATTATCAGCATGTTGGAAGACCGGAGTCTTCCCTTTTACATTGCTCTCTGCAGTTGTGTTCAAGTTCTTAGGGAATGGAGATCATCTTCCAGTTTGTTTGTTTTCTAGAAAGATTCATGAAGCCAGTTGCAGGTTATTTTCTTGATTGCAGTTTGCTCAGTGGGCAGGAGTGGAACCAGAGCGTTAGGGGAAGACACCTCGACCTGAGTCGGGGTCCAGCGTTGGCTGCACCCCCTCCCAGCAGCACAGCTGTAAAGAGAGCCCAGGGCAGCTGGGTCAGGGCCTGAGCTATTTTGGGAGGTGGTCACATTTTTCACTATAGCTGGTCAGCACCTAGACAGTGAAACTCAGGTCCACACCATCTGTCTTCGGTGGTCTGTCTGTCTGTCTGACGCAGCCTGGCCTGCGTGCACATTGGAGCACATGCTGGCCCTACATGCATAGCCTTGGCTTGCTGAGGTCTGGGGGCCACACAGCCTCCTGCAGTCTTCTTTGACCCCACCGCGCTAATTTTATAGCAATGGTTTTGCGCTGCTTGCCGCCAGCTTTTGGCACTGCCGCTCCCAGCTCCACAGCCCGACGACAGACGACGCCGGGCGAGGTTTCACAAGTCAGCAGCATCAGAAAACTCTGGCTTCTGCTAGATAGCAGAATATTTCACGTTCTTTGGAGACCATTAGAAACTTTTAATTTTGAAATTAACCAAATGATGGTACATGTTTGTAAATATGTCATTCTTGTGAAATCACACAAAAAAAACCCCAAACCCTTAGAATAGCAACTTTCGCTTGAGATTAGGCCTATATTTTTTGAAACTAGAATTTTAATTTAGTGCCACAAAATCTGAGTTTAACAAATGAAACCCCTAATTGGAGTTGATCTCAGTCCGATATAGTAATGGAAGTTATTTTTATGATGTATTGCAGTTACCATGTGTGCAGTTACCATGTGCCATATATGTGGTTAAGCAATACATTCATACATGTGTATGTATGTATGTCTTGATGATCATCACAATGCTTCAATGTCCATACTTGAGAAATTGACAAATGATCTTTGAACACTAATTTGCATAGCTAATTCGTGGGAGCTGTTAGAGCGGGGCTTTCTGGCTCAGGAGGTAGGCTCTGGAGATGGTTATCACCTACACTATGTTTAAAGTAGCATTTTGGGGGTAGGGGACTGTGTTAATTATCCTTATAAGGATGCTATCAGTGGCTTGGGAAATTGGATGGACTCTAGGTATGTTTCTTTTGTTGTTGGTGTTGTTTGGCATTGTCTCTGTTATTTTGGTGATATTCATTCATAAATGATTTTTAGAATAAGCTAGTTAGCAGTTGAAGTGTCAGAAGGTGAATGGTTGTTTTGTTAGTCTCCTAACCGTTACAATGGCTAATTGTTTTAATGACTGGGGGAGGGGGAGGGGGGAGGGGACAGCTTCATTCACAAAACTGCTGGAATTCCTTTCTGGAATTGGGTGTTACTCAGCAGTGCTTTCCCTCGCCAGCTTCCTGGGGTGTGAGCTGACAGTAGGGCATCTTCTTGAAAATCCATGCAGTGCTCCAGAGGGCCCAGTCTGCGGGTGCCCTTCCCCTCTATCACTGTGCTAGGCTCGGCCCACGCATGCGCCTCTCTTCCCATTAGACCTGCCCATGCCTGACCCCTTCCATTACTGCACGGGGAGCCGGTCCTTCCTCACCCCCCCCCCCCCGTTACTGCACTTGGCCCTGGTGCCTACCATGTTCTGCAAATGCTATTTTGTATTTCAGAGTGGGAAGGCCCCTGGCAGCGACTCGGGCGGAGTCATCGATCTCACGATGGATGAGGAGGAGGGCGCGGGCGCGGCTTCCCAAGGTACGTGTCCTGGTGGCATTTAGTGCCCTCGGTCCTCCAGAGACAAGTCCCCTGCTTGTGTCAGGAGACACAGCGTGCTCTAGGACAGAGCAGTTAGTTGGCAGTGCGCTGGGATTAGGTGTGGAGGGTCAGCAGCGGGGCTGGGAACGGAATTAGATTGAGCTCTTCTAAATCTACATGAATTGTTCTCCGCATCTCCTAACTGGAAATGCACGTCAGTCACGTGGATTGCTCGTGTGATGTCTGTGTGCTGTGTAAATGCAAGGGAAGGCCTTTAGTAATGCTCTGATGGCCCGTGTGCAAGCTGGCCAGGCTGCGCCGGCCTCAGCTCCGTTCCTGGTTCTCCTCCTGCGCTTCAGCCCTTGTTCTTGGCATCATGTGTTCCGTGGGTCCCTGGCACGCTGGGAACACGCTGCACTAGTGCTCCATGGGCTTCCCGTGAGTCTCCACCATGCCAGGCTACCCTGTCCACCTCTGCACAGACCAGAACCGCAGCGGTGTCTCACACTTCCTCAGCTGCACAGTAACTTCGTTCATGGATGGGGCTGTGCTCAGCTATGCTGATGAACGAGAGCCTTCAGATGCTTAATAATCAATGCGTAAAGCAAGCCTTACGTAAATACCCTATTTTAAGGACAGTTGCTATAGGGCAATATTGGGTTTGTGTGTTGTGTGTTTAAAACTGAGATCAGGGCTGGGCAGGTGGCTCAGTGGTAGAGCGCTTGCTTTGCATGCCTGAGGCCCTGGGTTCCATTCCTCAGCACCACATAAGCAAAAAGAAAAAAGCCGGAAGTAGAGCGCTAGCCTTGAGCTGAAGAGCTGAGGGACAGCACCCAGGCCCAGAGTTCAGGCCCCACGACCGGACCCCCCCCAAAAAAAAAACTGAGATAAAGGGGCTGGGAAGGTGGCTCAGTGGTAGAGCACTTGCCTAGCAAGCCCTGGGTTGGAGTCCTCAGCATCACATACACAGAAAAAGCCAGAAATGGCGCTGTGGCTCAAGTGGTAGAGTGCTAGCCTGGAGCTGAAGAGCTGAGGGATAGGGCAAAAATTGTTTTGTTTTCTTTGGCGATGTGTGTTTCTACTAGCGCATGTGCACTGCGGGCATTTCAGTGGAACACTTGCACACACGTGTGCAACACATTCCTGAGGCAGTGAAGCGGGCTTCCCTGTTCTGTTTCCATACGTGTGACTGTTTGGGGTAAGGTGGAAAACAGGCGCCTCATACCTGGTCTCTGTCAGTGAATGCTCTCCATTGCAGCACAGAAGCACGCAGCCGAGGCTGACGACTGCAGGCGGGGACCACCGCAGTAGGATTTAGCTTGCACTAGTCCCACACAGCGGCCTTGACATTTTTGAGAGATTTTTATTTCCTGGGCTCTTGGAGACTTTTCTTGACACGAGACTCCTGATGGACATTTTATTTTAAAGGCTAGCAATCATTTGTGTTATCAAATGAACTGTGTAGCTTTGAAGAGTTGAAATGCAAAATCATGGCAAAGCCTGGTGCTGATGGCTCCCGCCTGTCATCTCAGTGACTCAGGAGGCTGAGATCCGAGGATCGAGGTTCAAAGCCAGCCTGAGCAGGAAGGCCCTTGAGACTCTTATCTCCAAAGAACCACTAGAAAACTGGAAGTGGGCTGTGGCACAAAGTGATAAATGTGCTAGTCTTGAGCAAAAGATCAGGACAGCACCTAGACCCCGAGTTCAAGTCCCAGAACCAACAACAAAAATCGTGGTAAAAATCTCACCAGTTCATGTAGTGTTTGTCTATGTCTAGGAGCGTGTCCTTGATATATAGGTGTATACACCTACACGTATACAAACACATGCACTGATTCACACAAGCAGTGGCGTTAACTATACTCAGAGGATATCTGGAATCTACAAGTGAGATTCCTTCATTCAAAATCCTGAGTTTATGTAACTGTGGATTAGGATTATTCTTGAAGTGTGGGTGAGTCTTTGATTATTCTTGAAGTGTTGGTGAGTCTTTGTTTTCACACCAATGAAAATCCAACTCAAACAGCCGGAGTTGTCATCACAGGAAGCTGAAAGTGGCGTGTGAATGCAAGCACACATCACACGCATGGGAAACACCGGTGTGCTCTGTTTTCATCGGACCTCCTCACGCCTCCCCTTTCCTTCCCAGACCACAAGAAGCTGCACCACACGCCCGTCCCGGCCATGACGTCACCCCAGCCCCTGCCTCGCCCCCTGCAGCCCATCCAGCCTGCGCCACCACCGCCGCCACCGCCATCTGGGGTGCCCACGAGTGGCCCGTCCCAAACCACCATCCACCTGCTGCCTCCAGGTACCTCGCAGGGCAGTGGGCGGCCGCGGCCGTGCCCGTGGCTGCTGCCAGCCGCACCACACTCTAGTGTTTGCTGCTGCTGAATCTTACCTTGAAGTGGTATAAGCTGTGGACTTGACTGCGGGAAGCAAACGCTCGTGTGTCACTTCTTCCCTTTCAAGATCTTACCGATGAGGGGTTTCCAGGCTGTCACGCAGGCCGTGTGGGTGCCAGGCAGCGGGCAGCCCTTCCGTGGAGCGAACCTCCTGCTGCTGCGGCCCCGCTGGGGTTTCTACCCCATGCAAGGCTCACTTAGATACCAGAGTCGCTTGTAGAGAGAGCGCTCAGCGTTGACTTACAGAGTGATGGCTGAGGGCACTTGTTAACCGGAAGTATGTTAGCACTTAGAAACCACCGTTGCTGTCAAGCAGGGTAGCAGGTGCCTGTAGTCCCTGCTACTCAGGAAGCTGAGACGGGCGGATCAGCTGAGCCTCAGACTTTGAGGTCAGCCCTGGTAGAAAGAAGCCTGGGCTTCTCCTAAAGGCTTTCAAAGGAATCCTCCTCATTATTAGAACTCTGTGCTGTAAATCCTGTTTTGATAAATGCATCTGTTGGCCCCCAGGCCCTGAGTTCAAGCCCCAGGAGTGGGCCATCAAAACAAAACACAAGACTGAAAAGAGCAGTCTACCCTTGAAGAGGGCGATTGTTGGCCTCTCCTGTAGGAAACCTATGCTTAAGTCTAGTTCTTTATACTCTCACGGTCCGAGGGGGCTGCGCTGTGGCCGCGGCCCCCCTTTCTCAGAAGTGAGGATTTATACTGTTCATCTTTGGTGGCCGCGTTGCTCTTCCTGTCCTTGCAAGGACAGCAGCGAGCTCACGTCCCGTGAAGTGGTAATTAATTCCCTGTGAATGAATACTGTTGGCCTAACGCATGTTGCTTCATTTCTCTCTCTCTCTCTCTCTCTCTCTGGCTTCCACTAGCTCCAACCACCGTGAATGTAACGCATCGTCCCGTAACTCAGGTGACCACGAGACTCCCCGTCCCCCGGGCTCCGGCCAACCATCAGGTAGTCTACACGGCCCTGCCCGCACCGCCCGCCCAGGCGCCTCTGCGGGGAGCAGCTGTGCCCGCGCCCGCCGTGCGTCAGCTCAACCCCCCAAACAGTAAGAGACTCCTCTTCTCCCCACGCTTCGCGCTCGCTTGGTGATCTCCTGTAGAGCCGTTAGTCTAAGCGCCAGAGCTCGCTGCCTGGCGGCTCTTAGTGTAGTGCACTGCGAACAGTGTACCATGCACTTGGAAATTGTGAAGACTCTGCACATTCTCCCCACGCAACAGTTGTGCGTGTACGATTAGATACGTGCATTGCACAATCGGTCATTCCACAGAGTGCGCTTAGTTCAAAACCTGAGTACACAATGAATGCACACAGTTTTGCCGACAACCACTTTTTCCCGAGCAGTAAATAAAAGCTGTGTTACTGAAAGTTACCCAGACCAAACTGGACCTGGTGCCACCTGGTGTGCGCTTGCGTGCTATCTTCAGTGTCACTTTTGGTTTGGGTGCTAGCTATCTTCAGTGCAACCTTTGATTTGTGGCCTATGCCATCACCAAGTACTGTTTGGTGCTGGTGTGGGCATCGCTGGCTGGTAGAGTGGGCAGGGTTGATCGGGTAATCACGTGTAGATCAGCCTCTAGGGTACAGACAGAAGAAATACAAGAAGGAAAGGTCAGAGGGGCCTGTGCGGTAGCGTGTGTGTGAACTGTGCAGGATGGATTAATGTCTGTACATATGCATGTTAGTGTGGATACACAGGTATGAATATAGATCAGCAGTAGACGGGGTTAGATGAAAAACAGCTTCGTAAATGTCTTTTTCAAGTTTAAAGCAAACTAAAGTGAACCACCTCTGAACTCTACGGGTTAAGAACAGGTCTTGAGCAGACCCCGCACACCATCTTTCTGGTCTGACCTTCCTCCTGTGCTTTCCCTTTCCCCTCCCCCTCTTCACTTTTCTGGCTTCCCTGTGCTTCTCTTTTTGCTCTCGCTTTTCTTCACTGTACATATCATTAGTGCACGTAGAGTTGAGCTTTGGCACATTCATTGCATGTCAAGGAGACATGGAACTGCATCAAGGAACTGGAAATGCCCTCCGCACATGGTAGCTTTTAGGAGAGAGTAATCCAGGTAAAACGTGAGGGTCGCAGGTGCTTGGCCCTGCTCGGGTGTGTGAGAGCAGCCGACCTGTTGATTGCGAGCTCTGGGAGACAAGCTTCCCCCAGGCCGGATGCCCCGCGCCTGCGCCCCCCACCCTCCCCACCCTCCTCACCCCCTGTGCCAGAGGAAGCACAATGGGAAAGATAGCTCTGGATTTCCTGCCGCTTGCTCTAGAGGATGTCACGGTTTCCTGTGGCGTGGACTATCTGCTCTGTGAGGAGGACGTGGACAGAAGGATCATTCCACAGGCATCACAGCATGTCTTACACTCGCTGTGGTGGCTGAAAGTGTGAGACTCCAGGGTCTCTAGAAAGACAGCTCGAGCCCGCCTGTCTCTTACATCTCACTTGGTCTCTGGGCACCTGGCCGCACCTGGCCGGCGGGGCAGGTCCCGGCAGGCCTCTGGCGGGCGGACAGGTATGCCTTTCTGCGCTGATGTCCTGTTCTTGGATCTCACGTCTTCCTCTTTCTTCTTGTCTTCTCTCGTGGTCCCAGTGACATGCGTGTGAAACTCGCACAGCCCTCGCTCCACCGTGACCCCCGCTCACTGCACACGTCCAGGCTGGGATGACTTTGCCTTCAGAATTTCAGAAACAAACGCGGCTCTGCTGCCATCAGATGTTCTCATCAGCACCCCCAAGACCTCCACCCCCCCCACGCAGTGGCGTTCTGATGTGTCCCCCTCGTTTGGTGTTGCAGGTGTTACAGTTCGAGTGCCTCAAGCAACCACCTATGTGGTGAACAACGGACTCACACTGGGCTCGGCCGGACCTCAGCTCACAGTGCACCACCGCCCTCCGCAAGTGCACACGGTGAGTGTGGCGCAGCACGCGTGCACGCCGCCTCGCGCCGGCATCGCCCCCACGGCGCTCGTGCCCAGCCAGGTGGTGGCTCGTGCATCACGGGTGGAGCCGAGGGCGGCCCCACTGAGCCGCGCGTGGCGGTCGTGTGCACTCGGTCCTCTGGGACCAGGAAGTGAAGCCGATCGTCGTTCACTGTTAGTTCTCCTTGAAGTCTGCCGTCTTGTCATTCCTGTGTGGCGTACAGCAGTCCGTTCATGGAAAACCAGTGCCCGCACCTCCCCTTCCACACCCATGTCCCGCGTGGGCCATCTCTGTGCATCTCTGGGGTCTCTGAGCCCAGCTCTCGGTTTCCGGGGGGAGCTCAGCATTCTTGGTCTTGGAAGTGGTTGGGCATGCCCCTTGCCCGCAGGGTTCTGCGCATGCTCCAGGGAGCCCCCACAGTTGTTGGAGTGCCATGCTCCCCGCTGCCCGCCCAGGTCACTATTAACCGGGCATCCGTGTCTCTCCTCAGGAGGCTCCCCGACCCGTGCACCCTGCGCCCCTGCCCGAGGCCCCCCAGCCGCAGCGCCTGCCCCCCGAGGCCGCGGGCACGTCCCTGCCACAGAAGCCGCACCTGAAGCTGGCGCGCGTGCAGAGCCAGAACGGCATTGTGCTGTCGTGGAGCGTGCTGGAGGTGGACCGCGCATGCGCCGCCGTGGACAGCTACCACCTGTACGCCTACCACGAGGAGCCCAGTGCCACGGCGCCCTCGCAGTGGAAGAAGATCGGCGAGGTGAAGGCCCTCCCGCTGCCCATGGCCTGCACCCTCACGCAGTTCGTGTCCGGCAGCAAGTACTACTTTGCCGTGCGGGCCAAGGATGTGTTTGGCCGCTTCGGGCCCTTCTGCGACCCCCAGTCCACGGACGTGATCGCGTCCACGCAGAACAGCTAAGCCCGGGGCCCGCCCGCCCCGGGCGCCACCCTTCCGTCTGTGCACACCACGCGCGCATGCGGGACCGCTCCGGACACCGCCGCCTGCACGCACACTCATGTGCGCACACTACACGGTGCACGGCCCGTGCGCAGTGCACGCGGCCCCAACGACAAGGCATGGGTCAGGGTGCGACGTGTAAATACGCACCTCGCGGAAGCGCGGGTGCTGGTGTGGGGTTTGGGGTTGTTTTTGGTTTTTGTTTTTTTTTTCCTATTTCTGTGTCTGTTGCCATCTTCACCCTCCGGTCCCCTCCTCTTCAGCTGGAAGGAAGGAGAGGATGGGCTGGGGTGCGTGGCGCACCTTCTGCCCCCCCAGATGCCCGCGTGAGCAAGTTCACACACGTGACGAATCCCAAAGAAATAGACAGCACCGCGACTGGCTCCACGTAGCTTCCCTTCCACGCAGAAGACCCTTCCACGCATCTTCATCTCCTCTCCTGCGTGGCCGCGCCGCCACTCCTTCCTGATTTGGCTCCACATTTGTTTTGTGCCTTAAAAGTTAACTCCAGAAAGAAACACGCCCGCCCCGGGGGCTCCGTGCATCTCCTCCACCCGTCAGTGCACACACGTACCTGGCCTGTGTGTGCATGCATGTGTGTCCGTGTGACTTCCACATACGTGTGTCCTTGTTACATTGGTGAGTGATCATATGGCGTCCGTGTGTCCGTGTGATGTATGTGTGTGTGTCCGTGGGACGTTTGCATATGTGTGTGTGGTGCTTGCGTGTGTCCAGTGTGTGTGTGTCCGTGGACCTCCCCCCCATCTGTAGCATTACTACACTGAGCTCGGGGAGCTTTGTTCTTGGGAGGACGCGGGCTTCTATCACTGGCCATCATTTAACTGCAGAGAATGGACCAAGAGAAAGCCCCGGGGCTCAGGACATTGCCCCTCATCTCCGTCCCATCCCCCCCTCCCCAGCAAGGCCCATCAGTTCAAGAGCTCACGGCTCGGGTCAGCCCCGTGGGCGTGGTTTGGTAGTGCCAGCAAGAGGCTGGCTCTAGGTCCCCCCCTCCCCCTCCCCCAGTTGTCTGCGGAGCACTTTGACCCCCCCCCCCCCCAGCAGCTGTGCCCTGGCTGCTCGGGTGAGGTCCGCGGGTGGACAGGCGGGAGCAGGGCTCCATCGCGTGGAGACATGATAGGTGTTTGGAGGAGGACTTGTCAGGCGCGGCCCTGCTTTCCACGTCACCCTCCGTGCGGGGCTTCATCCCCTGTGTCTCTGCCTTCTCCCCACAGTGGCTTTCTGGGAGGCGCCTAGGGAGCCCTCTTTCTCGGGGTTCTGGTTGCTTCTCACCGGTCCTGGCCGGGCATGGTGGGGTTTGCCTACAGGTTGCCAAAATGCCCACGCTCAAGCCCCCCTTCCCCGCCACCCCCGGGGGGTGAGAAGCGGGGTTCGCACGGTTCGCCAGGCCGACCCCGCAGGCTCGTCCCGTCCCCATGGGTTGGAGCCGGCCCGCGCCGTGGGCTGCTGGCCGCGGGCGAGGCTTCCGGCCCCTGCTGGGCGTTGTTATTTATAGTCACCTGTTGCCGTGTCCCTCCGCTTTCTCTGTTACAGAATCAGGTAGCCCTTTGGAATAAAATATTTCGTTATTTTGGCTTATATATTTTGTCAATGGAAGAGATGTGCATCGTCCCGATAGCGACCCCGAGACAGACAGACAGACTCTGTGGGGGGATGGCCTCCCCCGTGAGCCTCTCCCCCCCCCCCCCTCGTGGGCCTGCCCTGGGGCTTTCCCGAAGAAGGCATTGGGGGGCGGGTGCAAGTGCTCAGTGCTGGCTTTGTGCTTGGTTTGGGTTGGGGGGTTGAGAGTTTAGGGGGTGCCACTAGAAATGGTGAGCAACACCCCATGTCTCCCAGCCAGCCACACCCACCCCTACACGCAGCATCTGTACCCCGTGATGTATTTTCCTGAGGATTCTAACACACTCTGTCATCCCCAGTGCTACTGCCAATAGGGGGTCCTGGAGCCCCAAGTGTGTGGAGGGGAACAGACCCAGGGCATAGCTCCCTGTACCCCACTCTGCACCATGTCAGAGAGCATTCAAATGCCTTCCACACCCATAAACGCAGATGGGGGGGGTAGGGCGCAGCATCCCTGCAGGGTCAATGTCTCTATGCAGAACACTTTGTACTATGCCACACAGCGTGGAAGCGGCATTCTTCCCAGACCGTGAATATTGGGGTACATTTGCCTCCCAGAGTTTTCCCCATGACCCTTAACCCCACTGCCAGGTAATAAGACCTTGGGAGAAAAAAATGACCTCCACTGAGCCTTCTAGAAGGTAGAGTTCCCATGGGCGCCCTACCATGGGCAGCTTCGTTTAGTTGCTTTAAATTCCAGCAAGTGAGGCAGCATTGCACCGTTAGCCTTCTTTCCATGAGTTTTCCAGTGCTGTAGGAGACTGAGCCCAGCACCTCATCTCACACTGCACACCTGTGATCCCAGCACGGTAGCGCACTACATATGCCCTCCGAGCGTTCTCCTGTTCTTTTCTTGGTCTGTTTCAGCATCCTCAGTACAACGATCTTTTTTTGATTTATTGTTTGAATTTCATCACGGGGCTATCATTGGTTGGCCTGTTTTATTCTCATTTCCAGGAAAAAAAAAATCCATGTCCCAGTATTAAATTTTATAGCACCTACCTGTATAACCAATGTATGAGTCTATTTACTCAGCAAATGCTTAAAAAAGATATTTTTGTTATCATTAAGGTGTTGTCCCGAAGGACTACCATTTCGTAAATCAGGGTTTTTGTTTCTTATTTTTGTTATGTTTTTGGTCGGTCATGGGGCTTGAACTCAGGGCCTGAGTGCCATCCCTGAGCTCTTTCAAGACTGGTGCACTACCACTTGAGCCACACCACCACTTCGGGTTTTCTGATGGTTCATTGGGAGATCAGAGTTTCACAGGCTTTCCTGCCTGGGGTTGGCTTTGAACCACGGTCCTCCAGATCTCAGTCTCCTGAGGAGCTGGGATGACAGGCGTGAGCCACCAGCATCTGGCTGATTTTGTGGTGGTTGTTTGGTTTTAAAGATAAAAAAATTACAGCAATGTCACGCCATGTTTGTTAGTGGCAGACTCCAATCTGTTTCCTGAACCTCACGCATGCTCCCTGTCCAGCCACAGGGGGTGGGATTACCACACCTGTCACTCATCATCATAGCTCACCTTCAGGCATTTCATGTCAAAATAAGCTTTGGGTTTTTTTTTTATTTTTAATTTGTAGAGTCTGCTAAATTATATTTAAATGTCTTTTTTTTTTTTGTAAATAAGGTAACAGCAAACACTTTTTGGGGGATCTTGGCTTTAGTATTTTGTCAGACATTTCAACACAAAAGATCACAACCAATCTTTTGTAGGAACCTTGCACCCTGATGTTTGTTTATTACTGTGGAAAGTGTAAATAATAATAAGACAATGTGAGACCCTCTTCCTGTCTGATTAACTGGGCGGTGGCGAGTCGCCCTCTTTCTCTTGGGTTTCGTGGAATTTTCCTTTCCTTTCTTTCTTCGATGTACAGTAGGGTGATGTCTGTACGTGTTACCTGTAGTGGGGTTTTGTTCAGCAAGCCTGAAATTTATACTTTGAAATAAACAACTGGGTTTTTAATGTGCTGAGTGCTCTGATTCATTTCCAGCCTGCATGTGTGTGTGTGCATGCGCGTGCATGAGCGTGGGTGACGTCTCCCACCTTGTTTAGAGTTACTCGTTATAAATCCTCCAGCTCTCGGGGAGAATTGCTGTTTGTGGCGGCTGCCCTATGGGGACAGAGACCTTTTGGCTTTGGAGCAGAATGTAATTCGCTCTTCCTCACTGTGACCCATGGAGCCCATGGAGCCTGGATCCTTGACTTTGAGTCAGCCCTTTCCACGTTGAGCCACAGCTCCATCTCCAACTTTTTAAGGCTTCATGAGAGATCAGAGTCTCACAGACTTTTCCTGCCCTGGCTGGCTTTGAACCAGGATCCTCAGGTCGCAGCCACCTGACTGGAATGGACCAGAAAAAACCACTCTGCACACCTGAAGTGGTGCTGAGCACAACCAGCCAGAGAAGGAGACACAGCCAGCCCGCTAGGTAACCCCGGGATTTTCGAGGCCTTGCTGTCTTCCACTGCAACGCAAGTCTCCAGGACCCTGGGAGTTGGAATTTGTGTCCGCCGACATAAAAGGAGAATCACACAGATGTGGGAGAGAGTTGTGCTCTTGTAATACCGGGCTATAGGCTTGTGGCTTCCACCTTTAATCCAATATTTGTTCTCCACCCTCTCTACCTCCCCCGCCATGCTCACAATCACTACGACGAAACCAGCAAGAAATCAAAGGGAATTTAATAACGTGTTATTAACAATAGTTCTGATGTGGGGGAGGGGATGTGGGGAACCACAGCTAAAAATAACAATGCCTTGGGAGGGGGTGTACGCCCCTCTGCCCCCGCTCCTGTGCCCCCCACCCCCCTCCGGCTTCTGTCAATCATTAAAGAAGGGTTTCATGAGGACAAAGTCGAAGTTGTAGATTTCGGGCATGCCTTGGTGGAGGGTTTTGTTGAAGAGCCTCCAGCTGAACGCTGGGAGCCCGTCCTGCACCGTGGGGCCGCTGATGGCGTAGGCTATGTACTTCGATGCCAAGAAAATGTCTGACACCTGGGGAGACAGACAGAACCATCTAGAAAACAACATGGCTTTCAAGACCCAGTCTCGATTCTCCCTCTCCATCTTTAACCAAAGTTACCAGGACGGTGAGGGGCAGCCCTTTGGCACCTGCAGGCGAAGGGAGGGGGCCGTGTGGCAGCTCACCCCAGGAACCGTGACTCCAAAAGTTACTTACAAATCCATTCACCCGTTTCGGGCTCACTTGGCTCATTGGTCAGTCATGTGGAAGCTACGATATGATCAGTTCCTCAAAGCTGCTAGGAATAATAGCAGCAGCAAGACTTTTTTTTTTTTTTTTGGTGCCAGTCCTGGGGCCTGAACTCTGGGCCTGGGCGCTGTCCCTCAGTTCTTCAGCTCAAGGCTGGCGCTCTACCACCGGAGCCATAGCGCCACTTCTGGCTTTGTCTGCTTATGTGGTGCTGAGGAATTGAACCCAGGGCCTCATGCATGCCAGCTGAGCACTCTACCACTGAGCCACCTGCCCAGCCCTTGGGTTTTGGAATGGGATTTTACTGCTTTTTCTCAGACCAGCTGCAAGCCTGCGATCCTCCCGCCTGTGACCCTGCTAAAATAGCTGGGATTACAGGCGGGAGCCACGCGACTGCCCCTCCCCGCTGGGCTCTGTCAACTCTAAGGCAGCCTAGCCTTTGGTGCCTGGCCTCACAGCCCACTAGTACCACTGACGCTAGCCTCCATCTGGTAAAACCAAACCAGGTCACCTCCACCACTCACAGGTGAGGATAGGAGTGCACGCGTGTCTCACACACAGCCCCGAGCCGCCATTACCTTTGTGTCATAGCAGCCACCCGGGCTGGGCACTGGGGAGCTCAGGTCCTCGCGGCAGCAGATCGTGCTGCAGGGGTCACCCTTGCTGTATGGCTCCTCCTCGTAGTCTGCCGGAAGGGAGGAGGAGAGGTGAGGAGGACGGAGGGATGGGGGGAGGGAGGGAGAGGAGGGAAGGGGAGGGTAAACATGAGGGACTGGGAAGGAGGGTGATGGAGAAGGAAAAATGCGGGTGGGGAGGAGGAGAAGGGAGGGGGAGGATGAAGCTGGGAAGGAAGGAGGGGGAGGGGGATGCTGTGGGGAGGGGCAGGAGGAGGAAGGCGAGGAGGGAGAAAGGAGGGGGAGAATGAAGATGAGGGACTGGGGAGGAGGGAGGATGATGGGGAGAAGGGAGAATGTAGGTGGGAGGAGAGGGGGAGTTGGGAGGGGTAAGGTGAGCATGGGGACCTGAAGGGAGGAGGAGGAGGGCAGGGAGGAGGAGGAGGGAGGAAGAGGAAGGAGAGGAGGAAGGAGAGAAGGGGGAAGGGGAAGAGGGAGGGTTGCAGGAAAGAAGAGGGTGGAGGAAGGGGAGGAGGAGGAGGAAGAGGGGTGAGGGGGAGGAGGAGGGGAGGGAAAGAGGAAGTAGAGAAGGATGGGAGGACTCTAGATGAGGGCAGGGAGGAGGCAGAGGGAGGAAGAGGAAGGGGAGGAGGAAGGGAAGAAGGGGGAAGAAGAGAAGGGGGAAGGGGAAAAGGAGAAGGAAGAGGAAGGGGAACAGGAGAAGGAGGAAAGGGAGGAGGGGAGGGGAGAAGGAGGAAAGGAGGAGGGGCAGGAAAGAGGAAGTAGAGAAGGAGAGGAGAAGGAGGAGGGCAGGGAGGAAGAGGAGGATGGGGAGGAAGTGGAGGGGGGAGGAGGAGAGAGCGGAGGAGTGAGGAGGAGGAGGAAGAGGAGGAGGAGAGGGAGGGGAGGGGGGAGAAGACGAGGAGGGGAGATGGGGGAGGCGGGGGCGGCGCTCCAGGGTACGCACTATTGTAGCGCATGAGGTACTTCATGGTGGCCAGGTCGGTCACCTTGCCCTGGTCGCGCCGGAAGACCTTGGCGCGCGGGGCGAGGTCGTAGGAGTAGTCGAGGCCCAGCTTCTTGACCAACAGCGGGTATCCGCTCCAGCGGTAGATCTTCTTGTGGAAGGGGATGTTGTAGGACGGCCAGTAGCCTGCGGGGTGGAGCGCAGGGTGGGGGTGGGCGGGCGTGAGATGGCTGGAGCAGGGCTGCAGACCCCACGCCTGATTGGATTCCTATTTTTTTCTTTTTGAAATGTTCTGCAAGTTGTTTTGGTAAGGGAAGAAGATCATCCAAACGTGATTTTCACCCCAAAATTTTTTTTGGGGGGGTGTCAGTCCTGGGTCTTGAACTCAGGGCCTGGGCGCTGTCCCTGGGCTCTTTCACTCAAGGCTGGCGCTTTACCACTTGAGCCACAGCGCCACTTCCAGTTTTCTGGTGGTTCATTGGAGATCAGAGTCTCACGTACTTTCCTGCCTGGGCTGGCTTTGAACCACAATCCTCCAGATCTCAGCCTCCTGAATGGCTAGGATGACAGGCATGAGCCACGGACACCTGACTTGAACCTGGTCAGTTTCTCCCAGTAGAACTGGCAATCGGCACACCACTCTGCCACCATCCGTGCACACACCACCCATCCCCCCCATGCGCATGTGTCCACACGCATCAGGAAGGCGGTACCTCTGCGCAGGATTTCAGTTTGATCCGAGTACTCCACGTAGGTGGGGATCTGCTCCACGATGTACAGCGTGCCCTTGTCCAGGCTGTTGCGCGGCCTCACCTTATTCGTGTCCAGAACCATGTACTGGTTGTTGTAGGTACCTGTGGGGCCCAGGGGGGCGATGACATGTGTGGGTGACTGTGTGCCCCACAATGCGCCCACCGCCCCTGCACATGCCCACAGCCCTTCCGCTTGGCACTCACCGGAGTTGTGCCTGGAGAAGATCTCTGCCCACTCTTGGCCATTGGTGGCCAGCATGTTGGCCACGCGGACCCTCTGCCAGGCCAGGAGGGCCTCCGGCACCACGGACTTAAGCAGTGTCTTGTTGTACACGCTGTTGGTCGTCTGCAGCAGGACCAGGCCGCTGCTGAGGATGTAGAAGTCATCCAGAGACTCCAGGAACCCTGCGGGGAGCGTGGCCTTCCTCAGCATCCCTCCCCTCCTCCCTCTCCTCCATCTGTTCATCCACCCATCCATCTGTCATCCCTCCATCTGTCCATCCTTCCATCTATCCCTCCATCCATCTGTCCATCCTTCCCTCCCTCCATCCCTTCCTCCATAGATTTCTCCATCTGTCCATCCACCCATCCATCCATCCATTCCTCCCTTTCTCCCTCCCGCCATCCATTCATCCACCCATTCATCCCTTCCCTTCACCTATCCAGCTATTTGTCCATGCCTCCATCTGTCCATCCTTTCATCCCTCCATCCATCCATCTATCCATCTGTTCATCCTTCCATCCATCATCCATCTATCCTTCCATCCATCCCTCCATCATGAAACCATCAAGAGAAGCTCAGAGCTTTGCATGCTCTGCATTTTGTACACCAGTTCTTCTTTTTCCGGATGTGTAGCAACATTTCTCAGCTTTGGCTGAACTCTTCGTAGCTACCAAGTTATTGCTTACAGGGGTCCAGAAAACCCTCCACTGGATTCACCATTGGCAAAGGTGTAACTTGCACAGAAATGGGAGGACAGAGGGTGAACAAAGGCAGCTATGGTCCTCACTGGACACCAGGTGGAGCATGAACTCTACCGCTCATGGGTGGGGATGGGAGGGAAAAACGGGGAGAGAGTGAGGAAAGGGGGGACAGGGTCCACAGAGAAATGAGTTCCTGACCTGACTGATGTCACTGTTACCCTCTGCACATCACCTTTATCATCACAATAAAAAAGAAAAAAATGTGTGACTTAATAATTTTGAATGACAAAAAATAGGAATATTACAAGTTTTCAAAAATAATAGATGATAGCTAGATGGATGGATGGATGGGTGGATGGATAGATTACGTAGATAATAGAGACTATAGAAGATACTAGGTTAGATACAAAGTGGCTAAAATGCCAGAAATGGCATTCAAAAGTCTACTCCAAAAAAGCAGTCAGCAACACCGCCCCCAACAGATGATTGAAACTAACAGATGGTGGATGTGAATCTGTCAGCTCAAGGCCGGCACGGGAAAGCAATAAGGGTGAAATATTCGCCAAGGGTATTGGGATGCTAAAATCAACAACGACGACGAAAGAAATGCAGCTGGAAAATTAAGAAAAAGAAAATCCAGTGGAAAGCATCATCAATAGCCTCGATCAAGCAGACAAACGTATTGGGAACTGAAGATTGTACCTCAGGCACACTGTGCCGGCATTGATACAAGAAAACCATGACAAACTGCAACATGACCGGGAGACAAGGGAGGTGCAAAGATCGGGAGACCTATTAGTAAAGTTACTGTGCAAGTTCCCTCTCTCAAACCCAGGAAACCACATGATATATCTGTACATTCAGATCGAGCAGAAAGGGAGTTCAGAAAGGGTGAACAGAAGCAGTCCCGGTATTCAGTAGATGTAATGGGGAAAATGACCCGTGTAACTTGTGGGAGAGACAGGACTGGGAAACAGAGGGAAAGGGAAGGAAGGGAGGGACATTGTCCAAAAGAAAAGACAAAAAGGAATGTACCTATGAGCTGACTTCTGTCCAATGCCTTAATAATCACAATAAAATTATATTTCAACTAAAAAGCAATTCGGATTCTGGTAGCACCAGACTCATTCAGGAGTGTTTAACTAACTCATGCACTGGGCTCTGGGGGGCCCCTGTCCCCTCTCTCTGCCCTTATGGACCGGTGGGATGACTGTCCCTGGTGGGATCTGTGTGAGGAGCAGGAGGGAAGACATTCAGGGAGGACGCCCAGCCGTTCCTGATTTTTCCCCTTTGCTCTTGGTCTCCGGATTGACTTCTCGCTCTGCGATGCTCCCAGCTGTTCCCAAGAACTGAGATGACACCCTTGGACACACGGCGAAACACCCCTGCCATCCTCTGCTGTCTCCTTACAGTGGGGTCCCCCTGCCCCACACCCCTGCATTGACTTACCCGGGTAGCTGCTGAACGTGTGGCGGTTGCTACTGGTGTCACTGTCCCTGAGGTTGAAGTCCCAGTGTTTGTAGATCCTGAGCATGGCCGCGTAGGTATACCAGCTCGAGTGTGCGAAGAAGATGTTCTCGAACCCAGGCAGCACCTGCAGGGCGGGGGCCCAGTGAGGGTGCGAGCCTGGTGGGGAGGCGATAGACACGGGACTGGGGACAATAGCACACATGGAAGACACAGGATGGCCTCCAGTCAGGACTGAAAACAGAGCCTTAGGAGTCCAACAAAACAGACTCTTGCCTTCCAGCATGAAAAAGAGAAAATTCTGGAAGATTCTGGAAGATCAGAAGTAGCAGTTGCTCAGAGAGGAGGAGGAATGGTGGAGGAGAGGTAGCAATTCAGAACTACATTTCCCTCCACTGATCATTCTGTCTTGTCGATCTATCCATTCATCCATCCACCCATCCATCCATCCACCCACACATCCATCTACCCATCCACCATCCATCCATCCACCATCCATCCATCCACCATCCACCATCCATCCACCCATTCACCCACCCATCCATCCATCCACCCATCCATCCTTCCATCCACCCATCCTTGCATTCATCCATCCACCCACCCATCCATTGATCCATCCACCCACCCTTCCATCCATCCATCCACCCATTCACCCAGCCATTCACCCATCCACCCTTCCATCCATCCACCCATTCACCCACCCATCCATCCATCCTTCCATCCATCCATCCACCCACCCATCCATCCTTCCACCCATCCATCCACCCACACATCCATCCAATCCATCCATCCACCCATTCACCCACCCATCCATCCATCCTTCCATCCATCCATCCACCCATCCATCCTTCCACCTATCCATCCACACACCCATCCATTGATCCACCCACCCTTCCATCCGTCCATCCACCCATCCACCCACCCACCATCCAACCATCAATTATCAATCTTTTTATCTATCCCTTCACGGCACAATCATCTGTCCATCTATCCATCAACCTATCTGTCTGTCTGTCCACAGAGTCTATGGTTTAGACTCAGGTGCACTTGCTGGACCAGTGCCTCAACCTCTTGAGCTTCGCTCCCAGCAACAACCAGTGGAGGTGTTTAAAGGACTTGGCAGTGCCAGGGTTTGAACTCTGGGCCTTGTGTGTGCTGGGTGTGTGCTCTGCCCTGGAGCCTAGTCCCTGGCGTCCAGTGCTCTGCATGGCCACCAAGGGCCCCCAAGCAGCTGCCGGTGCACCCAGGGTGAGGGCTTGCAGTGTGAAGAGACAGAGGGGCACAGCCCCAGCCTCACCTTGATGAGCGCAGAGCAGTGCCCCATGTCCCAGCGCTTCCGGTTCATGCCAGAGATCCTCGAGGGAGAGAGGGAAGGGATCAGGTCTAGCAGGTCGCCAACGGCGTTGAGAAACTGGATGTGGAACATCGTCAAGGGCTGTGGATGGAACAAGCGTCCAGTGCTGACCTTAGTACCCAGCGGTCAGTACTGAGCTGAGTACTGTGTAGCAGTACTGAGTGGCCAGTACTGAGCTGAGTGCCAAATGTTCAGTGCTGAGCTGAGTACTGTGCAGTCAGTACTGAGCTATCAAGCAGCAACCAGTACTGAGCTGAGTACCAAATGGTCAGTATTGAACTTAGTACTTCTGTGGTTCTCCCCATTCCTCTGTAGTCCTCCGGCATTCCTCTGTGGCAGTGTGGGGGAGCAGAGGGGAGAAAAGAAGGGGTAAGGCTGGCACAGGGAGCCCTGGACCTCAAGCCTCCTTCGTCTGCCTCCCTAGTGGATGGGATTACAGGTTTGCCCTGCGGTACCCACCCGGTTTTCTTGTGGGTTTTGTTTTTGTTTTTTGTTTTGTAAGTCATGGGGCTCGAACTCAGGACCTGGGCGCCGTCCCTGAGCTTCTTTCACTCAAGGCTGGTGCTCTACCACTTGAGCCCCAGCTCCACTTCCAGTTTTCTGATGGCTCATGGGAGATGAGAGTCTCATGGACTTTCCTGCCTGGGCTGGCTTTGAACCACCATCCTCAGATCTCAGCCTCCTGAGTAGCTGGGATGACAGACGGGAGCCCCAGTGCCCGGTAGTATTTGTGTTCTGAACTTAAATTTTGTGTCAGACAGTGAGTGAGCCACACAGCCCGGGCCCTGGGTGTACAGCGCCCGCCCTGGCCAGTGCCCTACCTTTATCCCCTCCGCCAGAGACCTCTTCATGGCTCCCACGTACAGCCCATCCATCTGTGCCATGACATAGCCCGTGTGCCTCCAGAATGGGTCCTCCTTGAACAGTTTGATGTTGTTACGAGCCCAGGTGTCCTGCTTCCTTGGGGGAGGGGGACAGAGGGGAGGGCAGGGTGGAGAGGGAGAACGTGAGGCCAGGACTCAGGGGCTGCAGGACAGAGCTGAGCCTCGGGGCATGCCGGAGATGATGCACTCAGACACGGGCCAGATGGAAACTGCAGATCGCTTCACCAATACATCATGTACACACACACATTCACATTTACACACCATGCACATGCGCAGACACACACACACAAGACAGACACAGGTCTGCAGCCCCCCAGCAGACACCGGACAGCAGACTTGGTGTACGTACTCCAGAAAGTCCTTGACTTTTTCCAGCAGGGAGGGCTTCTTGATGAGCTGGGGGTACAGGTTGGTGTAGTGGTCACTCATGTGTCTGAAACAAGGGCAGGGAGGGGTCATGAGCTGGGCGGGTGGCTCGGTGGTAGAGCGCTTGTCTCGCATGCATGAGGCCCTGGGTTCGATTCCTCAGTATCACATACACAGAAAAAGCCAGAAGTGGCGCTGTGGCTCAAGTGGTAGAGTGCCAGCCTTGAGCTGAAAAGCTGAGGGACAGCGGCCAGGCCCAGAGTTCAAACCCCAGGACTGACACAAAAATAAAAAGAGAAAGAGAGAGAGAATCCACAGACAAAAATAAAGAGAGAGAGAGAGAATCCACAGAGTATCACAGGCTGTGACTGGTGTGGCACATTGTGAATTCTGTGCAAAGACTCTGTCACCACCACCATCATCACCATCATCACCACCACCAACACCACCATCACCATCACCATCACCACCATCACCATCATCATCATCACCATCACCATCATCATCACCACCATCACCATCATCACCACCACCATCACCATCATCATCATCATCATCATCATCACCATCACCATCATCATCATCATCATCATCATCACCATCATCACCATCATCATCACCATCATCATCATCATCACCATCATCATCACCATCATCACCACCACCACCATCATCATCATCACCACCATCATCATCATCATCATCATCATCATCATCATCACCATCATCACCACCACCATCATCATCATCACCATCACCATCATCATCATCACCATCACCATCATCACCACCACCATCATCATCATCACCATCACCATCATCATCATCACCATCACCATCATCACCACCACCATCACCACCACCATCACCATCACCATCATCATCACCATCACCATCATCACCACCACCATCATCATCACCATCATCACCACCACCACCATCATCATCACCATCACCACCATCACCAATGACTTCAGAGAAGCACTAGCCTGTCTGATCAGTTGTGAGCGAGGCTGTGTGCTAACCATCTCTGCTTAGAAGGATGCTGAAGGCTGGACCAGGGAGGAGGGAGGGTGAGGAGAGGGTGGGAAGGAGGGAGGAGGGAGCAGAGAGGAGGTGGGAAGGGAGGGAGGAGGGGGGAGGGAGAGGAGGGGAGGGGAGGGGGGGCGGCACTCACGGGGCGGTGAGGTAGCCCTCCAGGAAGCCGGCCACGAACATGAGGATGTTGTTGCTGAGGTTCTGCGAGCCGTAGCCGGCGCGGAGCTCCAGGACGCCCCAGCCCGTGCTGTGCATGGAGTTATTGTAGAAGCCATACGCGTCGCCGTTCCTATCCAGAATGTTCTTCACCACCACCGTCCGCTCCTTGGGCATCCAGTACGCCGTGCCATAGTAGAACCCTGGACGGAGGGGAGGGGAGGGAGGCAGGGGGGAGGGAGGGAGGGAGGGAGGGAGGGAGGTAAGCATCTGCCCAGCCCTGGCTAGCCTTGCCCAGGCCTCTGCTCCTCCACAGCACCCGCCCCACCTGGTGACACAATCCAGAAGCTTCCAGAAGCACTTGGAATTTGAAATCGCCCTGAAAAAAAAACTCGTGTTCCTTCCCTACCAACTCCCATTTTCCCATTTTCTCTCCTATCTTGGCCACCTCTAACTCGAATCCTGGATCCATCCTGACCTCCTCTCCTCTCTCTCCTCTCTCTCTCTCTCTCTCTCTCTCTCTCTCATTCTGTCATTCTCCATCTCTCTTGTTCATGTGACTGGAACTTGGCCTGGGCGCTGTCCCTGAGCTCTTACTCAAGGCTGGCGCTCTACCACTTGAGCCACAGCTCCACTTCTGGTTTTCTGGTGGTTCATTGGAGATCAGAGTCTCATAGACTTTCCTGCCTGGGCTGACTTTGAACTGTGATCCTCAGATCTCAGCCTCCTGAGTGGCTGGGATGCCAGGCGGGAGCCACGGCGCCCGGCTTCCATCCCTCTTTCTATAAATCTCTGTCTCTCTCCCTCTCCCTGTCTCTCCTCTCTGTATATTTATCTATGTCTCTGTATCTCTACTTCCCTCCATCTCTCCCTCACCAGCTCTGCCCTCTTTTTCTTTCTTCCAGAGACGCAGTGCCAGCTGCCATGTGGCCCGGGGCCACCCTTGCTGGGATTACAGGAAGGCACCACGGCACCCCACCCGGGGCTCCCCCTGGGAGAGGTTCCCTCTGACTTTAACTTTCCCTCCTCCGCTCTGACAACTCTTCTAAAAGGCAGACGGGGACCTGGCCAGCTTTGCCTACTTACAAAAAAAGTCTCCCGTAGCCAAAACAAATCCTTGCACAAAAACAAAGAAAAACCGCTAAGTAAACAGGAGCATGAGGTCCCCGTACACACACACACACACACACACACACACACACATACACACACACACCTCAACAAACAACCCTTAACTGCCCCGTGTGATAAGAGGTTGGCCGGGCCTGTGGATTTGGGGGCCCCCTCCCCCCTCCACGCTCCCTCCACGCCCTCCTTTGAATCTGGGCTACTTTACAACCATCTTGGCTCCAGGATTCCTGGATAAGCATCTAGCAACAACATAGTTCCACAGACAGTGACGCCATCTCAACAGCCGCAACCAGACATGTAGTGTCTTCCCATGCCCAGGGCCCGACAGCAGACAGCTAGCCCTGGTCTGCACCCCTGAAAAATGTCTCCTGGAGAGCTGTACCCCCCCTCAGCTGCCTTCTGGGGAACACAGCTCCTTTCTCTACCCCTCCCGGGGTCCGGAGTCGGTGGTCAGACCAAACTCCAACTTCCAGGACTTTGGGACGTAGGCTGCACACGCTTGATTGACAGTTGGGGTGATTTCCCTTCTCCCCCACCCCACACAGGAAATCTAACTTCCAGATTTGTTCTGGACCCCAAAGCCCTCCGCCCAAGCCTTGCTCTTGGGCCTTCCCTGGCCTGTGGGGCTGGTGGGGACCAGGGGGAAGTGAGAAGAGACCACAAATAAAATCACACACCCAACTTCCAGGCTGGGTGCAGTGGCTCATGCCTGTCATCCCAGCTGCTCAGGAGGCTGAGATCTGAGGATCACAGTTCAAAGCCAGCCCCGGTAGGAAAGTCCGTGAGACTCTGATCTCCAATAAACCACTAGAAAACCAGAAGTGGCGCTGTGGCTCAAGTGGTAGCTCATTCACCTTGAGCTGACGAGCGCAGGGACAGCGCCCAGGCCCAGAGTTCAAGCCTGACTGACAAAATAAATAAAAAAAATTAAAAACTGTGATGATAAAAGTGATGTGCAGAGAGGCGACAGTGACATCAGTCAGGTCAAGAGACTACACACAGCGCTCCCCTAAGACCCATCAATCCCACTCCTGGGCATCTCTCCATTTGACTACTGACCACAAACCAGGCCACACTAAAGCCACCAGCACAACCATGTCCACTGCAAGACACAGAATCAGCCCAGATGCCCCTCGGTGGACAAATGGATCCAGAAAACATGGTGTAGATGCACAGAGGAATTCTACACGTCCATCAGAAAGGATGATATGGCACCATTTATAATGGTCAGACTTGGAAGAAAATCATATCAAACGAAGTAAGCCAGACCCAAAGAAACGTAAGTTTGCGTGGTTTCCCTCCTGTGTGGTAACTAGAAGGTGTCTGCAAATCTACAAGCAAACATGCTGGATGGTAAAAGACCAAAAAAAAAAAAAATACACTGGGAACTGGTAAATTATATACAAGACTCCAGACATTTCTATGGTGTGGACAGAGGAGGATTTTCTTAGGAGGGGATCGTGAGGGCTCAATACGGTGTACATGTACTCCCTGGGTTTCAGATTTGCTTTGAGTTCATCACAGACACTAAGCAAGCAAGCAAACAAACACCACAAAAACCAACCCAACCACAGCGGAAAATAAAAAAGCCAGCACCCAAAAGACACAAAACAACAACAAGAAAAAAAAACACTAAAAAAACTGTTCACAAATAGCCAGGGCACCGGCACTTGGCTGACAAGCAGGCTGTGGGTTCTGATCCCCACAGAGACACAAACCTATGGCCTAGGTGGGAGGGCTTAGGACTGACCCCAGCTCCCAGGGACAGCAGCTGCAAACCCAATGAGGGACAGCTTCCGGGGGACAACAGGACCTCCATCTCCTCCTGTCCCCTCTATGGGCCAGGGATCACAGGACCCGCCTGCTGCCCAGTTCGGGCACACTGGCCTCCAGTTTTAATTATACGCTATAAAGTTATGTGTTAAAAGTTGAAAGTGATCTGCCCAGGGGGCTGAGATCCGAGGATCACAGTTCAAAGCCAGCCAGGGCAGCAAAGTCCACGAGACTCTTATCTCCAAAAACCACCAGAAAACCAGAAGTGGTGCTGTGGCTCAAGTGGTAGAGCGCCAGCTTTGAGCTGAAGAGCTGAGGGACAGCGCCCAGGCCCTGAATTCAAGCCTCAGGATCTACACACACACACACACACACCACACACAACAACAACAACGGTTTAATGATGCATGATCTGCACAGCCCAGGGACAAATCTCAGAGCCCGAGGCTTTCTTGCTGTGATTTGCACGTAGTGTTTTCAAACCCCTCAATTCAGAAACTTCCACGGTGTTCTCCAGGGAGACGGTGACATGGCCTTGCGCCGTGTGTGGATGCGCTGCTGTCTGACGCTAAGTTTCCTCATCTGGGCGCTGTTGTTTCCCTATTTTCCTCCTAACCACATGAGTGAAATTTCGGTTTTGCAGAAGTAGAAAGAAGCGCCGTAATTACATTATTAATCATATTCCCTGCTACCTTTTCAAGGGAAACTTTCAAAAGACGGTTAAATTTAATTTGTTGGGAGCAACTGGAAGGAGAGAAGAAAATAGAAAGAAAAGCTGAGCTCCAGCAGCTCCCGCCTGTCATCCCAGTGCGTCAGGAGGCTGAGAGCTGAGGATCGCGGTTCAAAGCCAGCCCGGGCACGAAAGTCTGAGAGACTTATTTCCAATGAACCAGTAGAAAACCGGGAGTGGAGCTGTGGCTTAAGGGGTAGAGCGCCAGCCTTGAGTTGAAGAGCTGAGGGACAGCGCCCAGGCCCTGAGTTCAAGCCCCAGGACTGGCATTTAAGAAAAAACAAAAACGAAAAAGGAAGAGAGAGAGAGAACTGAAAGAAAGAAAATGGCGGGACACGCAGCACCAGGTTGTGCTCTGACCCAAGCTCTTCAAGAGGATCGCAAGCTGGGGCAGAGGCCCAGCCGATTTAATGAGATCCCCTCTCAAAACCCAAAACAAAGCCAGCAAAGCTCAAAAGGGTCAGAAAACAAACCCTTGGCCAAGATCACCAGACAACGGCTGTTAATCTCTTTGCTCTGGTGTTCTCAGTAGCTAGTTGGAGCTTGGTGCGGGATGCCTGTCACCCCAGCTACTAGGGAAGCTAAGATCTAGAGGATCACGGTTCAAAGCCCGGCCAGATGGAGAAGTCTATGAGATTCTATACCTCTTCCCCCACCCCTCCCCAGTACGCTGTCTTCCTAACCTGCCCTGTGGAAATGGAAACACTTTTGTACAACAACTCCACGATAAAGCCACAAAGTAGCCCACCAAAAGTTGGACTGGGGGCATGGCTCAATGGGTAGAGCGCCAATGGTGAACAAGAAAGCTCTCAGTGTCAAACACACACACACACATACACACCAAAACACGCCTTCAATGCCAACGCTGCAGAGAACCCACTGGAGACCGAGGCACGGTCCCACGTGGAGATCTCCAGATCAGCCTGGCATTCTACTGCATGTCTCCTGACTTTGTGGACAGGCCCGAGGCGCAGGGTGTGTCTGGGTGAATCAGCTGGGAGCCCAGGCGGGGTGGGGTGGGGCACAGAGGCTCCTGCCTGGCTCTGTGAGCCCTGAGTGGAACCAGTTTGCCCAGCTGCCAGCCCGACAGCCCTGCGCCTCACGGCCAAAGATGACAGCAGGGCTAAAGATGACAGCACCGGGCTGCGGCTGGGGCCAAGCCCCCACTACTGTGAAGGAGATGGCTGAGGAAGCCTCCCGTCTCCCCCAGGAGCCGGAGCGGCTGCTGGGGTGGGGGGGAGGGTGGGCAGGGCACCGCCTGCAGTCCCGGCCGGCCGCTGGCTCGCTGGGCTGGGCTGGGCGGCTGAGAGCTGGAAGAGCAGGGTCTGGAAAAAAAACACCCAAGACTCCCATCTCCAAGTGAGCAGCCAAAACAGCAAGGCTGGAAGCGTGGCTCACAGGGTAGGGCACCAGCCCGAGATGAAAAACTGGTCACGCACACGCACACACACAGGCGCGCACACACACACACACACATGCACACACACGCACACACACATATACGCACACACACACACACACGCACACACATATGCACGCACACACACACATATACACACGCACATGCACACACACGCACACACACATGCACACACACGCACACACATGCACACACACACGCATAGAAAAGACCCCATAGTTCACAATCTTACAGTCTTGGTGTGACAGGTCCAAACCAACCTACCCTCCTTCCCTCCCTCCCTCCCTCCCTCCCTCCTTCCTTCCTTCCTTCCTTCCTTCTCCCTCCCTCCGTGCGCAGGGCGGTGTGTGGGTGCCCGGCCCCCCATCTTCACCCCTCTCCCCTCTCCCCTGGACGCAATGGGGACGAACCCCAACCTCGCCGGGCCGCGCTTGGGGTCCCCTGGCCACCAGAGCCCCGCACGGCGGGTGGGGACGGAGACAGAGCCGCCCCGTCGGAGCCCCGCGCCCCCCCGGCCCCCCC